CACATGCCCCTGTGCATCGAGCTGAGCCTCATCCGGGGTGTGTGTGTGTGTCTGTCCTCTGTGGGGAGGAGTGTATGGCGGGGCACCCTCCACATCGTCCTGGTACAGCCATCTGTCATCACAGGCTGAGATCAGCATGGCTTGTAAACAGCCCTGTGGCCAAATATATGTCTCCACCATCTCCTCCCTGAGCTCTGTCGTGAAGTCAGGGCCAAAACTGTCTCCAGCAATTAGTTTGCCCTTGCTGAGGCCTCCTTGGGAGTCCCAGAAGCCAAAGGGGAGAATTATCAGGGCAGGGGCAGGCTGCAGCCAGGGGCCCCTCTGCTTTCCCCCGCTCTGTGAGCAGGCCGACGGGCAGCAGTGTGTGGGTAGGGCTGGGGTCAGGGCAGAGACCTGAGTTCCAGGCCCACATGGCCCAGGTCTCCTTACCAGGAAAGTCACCCGTATCCGCCCTCCCTGCTTCAGGGGCATTTTGTGACGTGCAGACTCCTTGGAGCTCAGGTTGATCCCAGCTGGCCCTCAGCAGCTGCTTTGGCTTTCTCGGGTCTGAGTCCCAACTGCAAGGTCACCAGCAGCTCCCCAAGTGTCTCCTTGAAGTGCCTGTGGGAATCAAGGCTTAGTCATTCTCTCTCCAGATCTCACAGTCCTCTTCTCTCTACTCTCCAATCTCTTGTTTTATCCTTGGTCTGGCTAAGGGCCAGGAGGGGTAGTACAGGTTCTTCACCATTTCCTTTGTCGATCTTGCATGGCGCTTTGGTTGTATCCGTTGTGGAGCATTTACTCAGCATCTTAGTTCTTCTGATCTCCTTCTGGGTATCCCCACCTTTTTTTTTTTTTCCCTCTCTTGATCCCTTGTAAAAAAAAAGGGAGGGAAGGGTTCCCAGTCAGGGTGATACACTTCCTGCTGGGCAGGCGTCTCCCTATGGCCTCCAGACTCTAGGATTCTTGGCCTAGACCACTCCTAAGGCTTGTCATGAATTCATTCATTTATGTATTTGGAGGCAGTAGAGAGGAATGGTTCAGAATTTATCCTCTGGAGGCAGACTGCCTGGGTTCTTAGTCCCAGCTCCATCTACCAGCTGGTGACCTTGGCACATTTCCTAACCTCTCTGTGCCTCAGTTTGCTCATCTGTAAAATGGGAATGATATTAGTAAGTACCTCCAAGGGCTGTTATAAGGATTAAATAAGTTAATATATGTAAAGCCTTTATAACAGGGCCTGGCCCATAGTCAGTGCAGTTTTAGTGTTTGCTATTATTATTCATTCCATTTAGACTGAGTGCTTCTACTGTTCCATAGCAACAATAAAGAAGACAAGGTCCCTGTCTCCCCGGAGCTTACACTTTAGCGGGGGAGATGGACAAGGAAATGGCAGTCACAGCACAGCGTGTTAAGCTCTATGACAAGGGAAGGCCTGTGTGTGTTGGGAGCATCTGAGAGGCACGCCGGATGTGAGGTGGCAGGGGCGGTGACAGCTGCCCTCCCCCATCACTGTGACTCATGGCTCACTGGCTGTCCAAATCTCACCCAGAGCCGTGGGTGGGTGCTGAGTCCTCACCCCGAGCCAGGGTGTCTCCCTTCCACATGGCCGTCCAAACTTGGGCTTTCTTTCCCCCAAAGAGATTGAAGCTGATTTCTGGATTGGATGCTGCCCTTGGTCTTACAGAAGCTGGGAACCAGCCCCTATAGACAGCCGCTGTGAGGTGTGAGGAGAGGCACTGAGGGCCCTGGTTTGGGGTGGGAGTAGGACTTGTGGGCAAAAGTGGGAATTTCACAGGACAGTGGCCTTGAAATTTGTTTCTAGAAGCTGCCTTCATGAAGCTGCCTTTCTCTTCAGGCCAGCAAGAGGACAGAGTCCTCTCAGGAGGAAATCACTTTATAGAGAAAGCACATGTGTCCAGACCGATGAATGAACGCAGCTCCTCTCAGCTGATGCATTCCGCGGGTTCTCACGAGTTCCTGCAGGTGCCAGCAGCTGGTTCCACCCTTGCTCTGGGCGCAAATCCCAGCTCTCCACCACTCCGCTCCTGCTCATTAAAGAAGCAAGGCCCTTCTGCCTAATTTCTCCCTCCTGACATCACTATGCTGCCCTGGCCTCCTGGCTCCCCGTCTCTCCCTCTCTCTCTCGGCAGCAGGGTGGCACGGAAGGGATGTGGCCTTTGCAGCAAGAGGCTTGAGTTCAACTCTGACTTGGCCCCCTCTGAGCTTCACTTTCCTGATCTGTAAAATGGGGATAATGATCCCTGCTTTACAGGGTTATTGTTGTGGGAAACAGACAGGATAATATCTACCAAACGCCTTGCAGCTCCCAGCACTGCACAGATGTCCCCTCGTTAACGTTCCTCGACCCTCTGGCATCAGCCTCGCATTATTCTTTCCTATTTCTGCTCCTCATAATGTTCCAGGGCTGCATCTAATCAGCTTGCTGTCCCCATTTCTCCAAACAACTTCTCCTCTTTCTTTCCTCCTCCCTGTTCTCTGTTCATACCCCCAAGCCTCGTGCCAAGGGCGCTCGCATTTCCCAGCCTCACTCCCATCCTTCCGCTTCACTGTCAGCACCTTCAGAATCCTCGCTTATCTCCACGCAGCGGCCTTTTAGGCTGGAGCCTAGTCCCCACGGTGAAGCAACATGCCAGCCCTGAGCAAAACTGTCCATGGCCGGAAAAATATTACAACTTCAATTTGCATTTTTTTAATCTTAAGAAAATTAAGCCTTACTAATTTATGTCCTCACTTGATCCATATGTCAAACTGTCACATGTCATGTTTGGCATGCAACGTGTCCTCAGGGAAGGGTGGGAGTTCCAAGACAATGTGGCACCTCCTCACACTTGTCTTTGGGACGTCACAACATGTGACATACAACATGCTCAATTTAGGGGATTTTTCAGTTATGTTGTCTAGTTTTAACTAAAGCAACCCCCACCACGTGGAGAAGTGACTCTAAAAAATTCCCAAGAGGAAACAGGATTCAAACTAATACTAATAACATAATTGCAAGTAAGCATTAAAAAATACAATGCTGACACTTCTTCTTTAACACATAATCAGCTGTATTCCAAGGTAAAAACAATGATGACCTCTCAGAGTGACCCCAAATGGACCCCAGGATCCAAATGATTAAGAAGGCTAAATGAAATATAGTTTATATCTACTATCATTAATAACAAACCCTGCCTTACGTGTATAGTGTGCCCAGAGGTAGCAGCTAATGATAAAGTAAAAGCTATCTTGATTAGAAAAACATTTAAAACCACTGAGACACTCAAACTTTGCTATACAATTGGATGACAGTATAAATATTTCTAATAGGTCTCTTGGTATTTGCAAGAATCTATTTCAACAATAAAATATAGGAAGAACTAACTTTTTGTAGACCACTAAAGAAAGGATGAACCAGAGGACATATGTTCTTCACAGTAAATGACTTCTTGAATAAAAATAAGCTTTACCAAACAACTCTGTAAGTGTCCACTGATGCTATGGCTGGTAAGGTAATGGAGATTGAGAAAGCAATGCATGTACAATTTCCTCACCACAGCATTCATAGGCAAGCTATTGGCACAAAGAAGTCAAGCCAGAAGAACACAAATTGCTGCCAGAAGTTATCATGTGCTTAACTTTATAAAATGAGACCTTTAAAGTGTCATGGTATCTTTACGGAACTTTGTATTGGTATAGCGTCCGTGAAAATACCTTGAACCCCTTGAGAATTGCTGGCTATGACTTAGCCAAGGAATTGTCAAACTTAAAGATGAGTTCTTTCTTTTCTAAACAAAAAGATGGGTGTTCCACACTTGCTGCCTTTTTCTGTGACGACAGATGGCTGTCAGTAATATGCAACCTGCTGGAGCTTTTCAAGAAAAAAAAAAAACCTTTGGAAAAAAAAACCCTTCAAAGCATTACTTTGGAGGTTGACATACTAGTTTGTCCCTCCAAAGTAATGGAGATGTTTTCCTTGTTTTTATTTAATGTGAGTAGTTTTTTTTAAGCACATTTTTTTTTTCTCTGTAATGTAAGAGGAAATGTTGTGAAATCAAGGTAGGATGTGTGTCAGCACCAAAATACTGAGAATTATTTCCTTGTTGGTCCATCTGGATTCAGACATCTGCCCAGTTTTGTCTGCTGCAAACCTCCAACAGGGCTGCTTTTCAAGAGACTAGTGCTCCAGAGAAAGCTTTTTGAAAATGGATGTTTGGGAACAGTTCCATCATTACATGATTTGTTGCTGTAAACCATATCTATTTGTACACTTAAAAAACTTAAAACTGGAATTTTATAGCTTATTTTAAATTTCTAAGAACAACTAACTGACCTCAGGGAAGATGGAAATATACTAGCCAAACTTCAACAACAGCATCACACGGTAGGTGAATGTGAGCGAAAAATGAATATCACGGTTTTATAAGTGAAATCAACGATGAGCTTCTTCCATCTTGATCTAAGATACCTTGTCAGCTACAGCAGCATTAAAACCAAGTATCAAAATAAACTGCATTTAGAACCAGACTGTGAATTGTTGTATCCAGATGTTTAAAAACCAATAAAACAGCTATAATTATGTCAGATGTAACCATTAGGAGAAATTGTGTGATAGACACAGGGGACCTCTGTGTATTATTTTTTGCAACTTCCTGCCAATCAATAGTTACTTCAAAAACAAAAAGTTAAATAAATAAATAAAACTTGTACAATCACATGTTATATTGTATAACATTGATAAAATATATATTGTATATAATATTATATTTATACACAAGATATATAGTCACTTAGTATCGTTTTTAGTAAGAGCAAGGAGGGCTGAGAGTAGCCTGGTAAGATCCAGGGAAGGGATTTCAGCTAAGGAGACACAGCTACCCAGGGTGATGGCTTGGGAGAATGGGGCCTCATAGCTGCAGAATGGGCTGGATGTCCAGACTGGACCCCACTTCCCAGCATGAGTGACAGAGGAGCTCAAGGGCCCTCCAGTGAGACCTGTCTATATCTTCATTCCTCAGCCTCCCCAGTGATTGAAAATGGCCTGCTGGAGTGTCCCAAGGGATACAAGAGACTGAACCTCACTCACTGCCAAGGTAAGGATGCCTGGAGCCAGGGCTGGGCCTGGGGAGGGGAAATGACGGAGTCCTGATGATGCAGGGACACCACCCCCATCCCCAGACAGACGAAGCGGCTGTCACTGTCTTGGTGGTCTCTGCTGGGCACCTCTAAGCCCCAGCCTGGGGGAGCTGTGGGGGCTCCTGGTTCCAGGGGCCTAAGGAAGTCAGGGATAGTGATTGAGTGAGCTGAGAAAGCTCATCCCCTCCTCCTCATCTCTACACACCCCCTCCTGGACCTGGACCAGGTGCCTCTCTAGGGCTGTGTGGGCCATGTCTGAAGGTGCCGCCTCAGTCCCTGCACATCCACTCACCTCCTGGGCCCATTTCCCTGGAATGGGGGGACTTTTGACTCCAAGGTGGGAGATCAAGTCAACCTGAGTTGATGGGGACCTCTGTGGACTTTCCCCAACAAAGCACCTTCAGCTGCTCAGACCTCCCTCCCACAGGTCTGGGAAGGGGGAGCTCTGTAAGGCCATCTGGGGCCTGAGGTGCTCTGCATTAGAGAGCTCCCAGAGGGGCAAGGCCCAGGGGCACCTTGGGACAGAAGGGTGGGTGGTAGGGCTCAGCTATGGCTTTGTCACCACAGGGGATTCCAGTGGGGGTAGGGAGTGGGACCACGATGACTGAGGGGTCCAGAAGCTTTCACTGAGGGGCAGCTGCTGCCACTGGGCAAACTTAGGCTCTGAGCAGGGAGCCCCTGTTGGCTGTGGGCCTGGCAACAGGTGTGATATGCACAGGGCCTTCCAGCCAGTGGGAGAGGTCAACGGAAGCTAAGGCAGCTTCCCCTTTAGAGAGCTTTGAGAACTGGACAAATCGCTCTCTGTGTGGTTTGCTTTGGGTGAAGCTGAGTTAGAGACAGAGGATTGACCCAGATGGCCTCCTAGGTACCCTCCCCCTGGAGGCTCCTTCAGGAGGTAGGAGTCTGAGGAAGCCCTGAGATGGCTTGATTATCTGCCTATGGGGTACCAGGCCCCAGGGGGGATTTCTGGCCCATGAATAAGGTGCTTGGACCAGGCAAAAGGGCATGCCTCTGACCCAGCCAGCCTGGGGTCAGCCTCCCCCAGGGGCAATGGGCTAAGGGCCTAGTGGACAGTTTCTGTCGAGAGAAGTCTGTAGTTTTGCCCTTGGAGGATACAGTAGGGCTGTTCATATCTAAACTGTCCCCAAGGGCCTCTCCTCCTGGCAGGTTTCCCAGTCTGGAGCATTACAGTTATTCCCAGGATCTCAAATGAGCTCTCTGCCCCACCTCCACTGAGCCCTTGTGATACAGGGTGCCAAGGGGCCCTCCCCAGGAGTCTCTGCCTCTGAAACCTCCCTCTCCCCATGTCTGTGGCTGTGGTCTCCACATGTGGGAAGGGACCCACTCACCTCTGCACCCATGTGCGCCATCCCTTCTCTCTCTCTCCATCCTTCTCTCCTACTTCCACAGGGTAACTTTGGGGGTATTGCCATGAGTTGCATACATTGTGCTAGGTGCTAGTACACAGGGATGGGTAAGATGTGGTCACAGCCCCGGGTGAAGACAGACACCTAAACAATTAGCCACAATGAGAGAAGTGCTCTTGATGGTATGGGGTGCCACAGTGGGGGCCCTTCCCAGACTAGAGGATCGGGAAAAGCTTCAGGTGATACCTGATCTAGACTTAAAGAATGAGTAAAGTTGGCCTGCTAAAGGGGATGCGGGCATTCCAGGCAGAGGGAACAGCATAAGCAAAGGGACAGTTTGGGCTGGCTGGAGTACAGCCTGTGTACACACAGAAGATTACCCAGGCATCCCGGAGTCTCATCAGAGCCACCAGCTCACCATTTGAGGAAATGGTGGAGGGTCTTGGATACCATGGGAGGGTTTAGGGCTCCCTCTAGGAGGTGATGGGGAGCCCAGATGCTTCTCAAGCAGAGGGGATGCAAGTCAGATTGTATTTAGACATATCGCTCTGGTCACAGTCCAGAGGCAAATGGATCAGTTCCTCTTCCCAGATTTCAGTGGCATTTCCCCAGGCACCTCCCTCCCCACAGGGTGTCCTGCCAAGGAATAGTGGGGTTATCTGTCAGCCCCTTCATTCCTGTGCTCAGTGCCAGTTTCCCCAAAGCCTGTGGGTAAGCAGGTGGCTCTGATGACACTGGGATGCTGTGTGTCATCTCCTGGCCCTGGAGTGGGTGCCCTCGCAAATCTTTCATGCTCACCATCATTGCTGCCGCCACGATCATCAGCAAAGGTGCCGTCACCAAGAGGCCCCTGACTTTTGGAACTTAGAGTGTGAGAGTTGGGATAACCCCTTGACAGGAAGAAGTTTCCAGCATGAAAAGTTTTTGAGATCACAAAGGAAGCTAATGTAGGTAGCTCCTTGTTGGAAGAACATCAAGAGCATCCACTGGTCTGAGGGCATGATGTGGCCTGCCTAAGGCAGGGGTGTTTGGAGGACCTGGAGACATGCTTCCTGACCCTCGGCCCCCAGCGCCTGCCTCCTGCCCCCTCTTCTTTGCAGGAGTCCCTCTGTCCTGCAGCTCAGTGTGGACATGTTCCCCAGATCTTGGGTGCTGCAGAGATGCTTCAGGGTCTCTCAAGGAAGGCTGAATAGGAGGGACTGAGCAGCCCATTCTCCACTCCCCAACCCAAACTGTCCCCTTATCTGCTTCCCCTGTTTGCCTCTCAGCGTGCCACTTACCAGCGGAGTAACTTTGGGCAAGTTCCCCCTGGAGCCTCAGTTTCCTCGCCTATAAAATGAGGTCATGTGGACCAACTTGATACAATTATTTGTGAGAATTAAATGAGGTATTGTATGTAAAGCACTTGGCATGGTACCTGGCACTCAGTAAACATTAGCTCTTAATATTGTGATCATTATTACCTGCAAGTTATTGGACCAAGTGATTTGCAATTTTATCTCATTTTATCCTCCTAACAAGACAGTATCATTATCCTCATTTTACAAATGAGGAAACTGAGAGGGGCCGCACTTAGTAAATGGCAGCTCTCTTATTGTTGTCCTGTTTTTTGGAGAAAGTATTTGGAAATCTCTGGCCCAGCCCCTCCCCTCCATCAGGCCTCGGAGGGGTGGGCGCTTGGTCATCTCCTCCAACCCTGCAGACATCAACGAGTGCTTGACCCTGGGCCTGTGCAAGGACTCGGAGTGCGTGAACACCAGGGGCAGCTACCTGTGCACCTGCAGACCTGGCCTCATGCTGGATCCGTCAAGGAGCCGCTGTGTGTGTGAGTACTGGCAGGGACCGGGGATGGGGGACACTGGGAGGCAAGAAGGGACCTCAGGGTCCATGTGCCAGACCTGGAGCAGAAATTTTGCCCAGGGCAAGTGGTTGGGTGCTCGCGCTCTGCTGCTGCAGCCCGGGGTTCGCCGGTTCGGATCCCTGGCACGCACTGACACACTGCTTGGAGAGCCATGCTGTGGCGGTGTCTCATAAAAAAAAGAGAGGAAGATTGGCAGATGTTACCACAGGGCTGATCTCCTCACAAAAAAAAAAAAAAAGAAGAAATTTTGCCCAGGCCCCGTCCCAGGGCGCAATGTCTGCTGCTTAACCCGGAATGGGGCCCAACATACAAAAACTGATCTGTCTCCTCCTGCTGAAACAGAGACAGTTACTCCTTCACTTTTGGCTTTAGGCGTTTCTTTGGAGGCTTCACAGTTGGGGATTAATATTTTCTACTTTTTCTGCTTTTTCTCTAATCATTTCTGTCCCATCTGTTGCCTCATTTACTTTGGGGCGGGGTGGGGGTGTTGTCTCTGGCCTAATGTCTGGCTCTCTCAGCACCTGAGCTTAGCAGCCTGGCCACTTAGCAGCAGACTTTTCTTAAAGGGCCTGTCCGTAGCATTAATGGCACTCCTGCCTGGCCCCAGGGCCTTTCCATAAGCTATGGTCCCTTGTGGTTCTGAATGTGTCTCTGCGTTCATGAACACATGTGTGTCATGAGTCATATTAGCATTCTGTCCATGTGTGTGCATGCGTATACACCCAGGCAGCTGTTTCCAGCTGGGAGAGGCCCAGGCTGGCAGTCCCCCCAGATGGCAGAGCTGACGCCACAGCCCACACAGGGCTTTCTTTGCGCAGGGAGGCCTGACCAGAGCTGAATAAAACCAGTCCCATCTGGCCTCTGCAAAGCGCCAGCCCAGGTCAGGTCAGCCACCGCCAGCTCAGCAGAGCTCTCTGCGGCTGGCTAAGCCCTCAGTCTGCAAACTGCCAGGTACTGGGTCTGAGGAGGCCGTGGGATGAGCAAGACTCCAGCACCACCCAGAGGGCGCACCCCATGTATTGGCGAGGCTGGACCTGGTGTGTGTCTCAAGGGAGAGGAGACAGTAAGAGCCTTAAGAGGGGACACCCAGAGAGTGAGGGGAACGCATCAGGCTGCTCTCAGGAAACTTCATGGTGACACAGATACTTAATCAATGCCGTGAGTTATTATAGCACTTCCTTCTCCCCACCCCACCCCCGACTTAGAAGTCTTTTATCAGGTGGGCTTGTTTACATCTGAGGTGACTTTTATTTATTAGTGCCTAAAAGAGACTCAATACAGGGAGGCAGAGATGGCCTTTGGCTGTTCTTTATTTTTTCTCCCTCCCTGGTGTTACCCTCCTCCAGCCTCCTCTGATGATTCATCTCCCCGTAGGTGGGAGGGGGCAGGCATTAAGTTTCTTTTCACTTCATTTCTGAGCTTTGCCCTTCTCCTTGCCACCTGACCGGGGCCAGTAGAGCAGCCTACAAGGGCCCCTCTGTGATGGGGCAGCCTCCTGATATTCTCAACTGGGTCACTTCCACCCTGGGGCTCAAAAGGACGGAGCCATTCCCTACAGTATCGCAAGGGAAGTGGCTGCGGAAGGCAGAGATTTGACCTGGAGCCCCAGGCTCATGGACTGACTGATAATTGACCTGTGTATAGCACATGACCTTTGAAAAGGCACTTTCACATACATCACTGTGAAGAAGGTGTATTAGTCAAGAGTCTTTGGGTTGCAAGTGACAGAAACCCAACTCAAACCACCGTGAGCAAAAATAATTAATTGGTCCACACAACTAGGAAGTCCGGGGGTAGGTGTGCCTCAGTCTTGGCTGGATCCAGGCACTCACATTGTCTTTAGATGTCTCTTGCTCTGTTTCCTCTGTGTTGATTTCTTAGTTCCTTCAAAGTTGGCTGACAGACACTCTAGGCCTACATCTCCCAGCCTCACAAACTCAATCAAAAAAAAATAGAAAGGGGCCAGCCCAGTGGCGCAGCAGTTAAGTGCGCGCACTCCCCTTCAGTGGCCCAGGGTTCACAGGTTTGGATCCCGGGCATGCATGGACGCACCGTTTGTCAAGCCATGCTGTGGTGGTGTTCCATATAAAGTAGAGGAAGATGGGCACGGATGTTAGCCCAGGGCCAATCTTCCTCAGAAAAAAAAAGAAGAGGATTGGCATCGGATGTTAGCTCAGGGCTAATCTTCCTCCTAAAAAGAAAAAAAAAAATAGGAAAATAAAAAGCGACTCTTTTCTAATAATCTAGGGAAAGTCCCAAAGCTGATTATTATCATTGGGGCTACTTGGTTAAGTGCCCATCCCTGACCCAATCACTGTGACCGGGGGTATGGACTACAGTCCTTCAGCTAGGAAGTGGTGTCATTCTCCACTTCAATCACATGGACCAAGACTGGAGGAAGGGGTGGATCCCATAGGAAAACCAGGGTGCTGTTACCAGAATATGGGGGCATAGATACCAGATAGGCAGAAATACAGGTGTCCACTACTCATGGAATTACCATCATCCTTACACATGAAGAAGATAAAGCCCAGGGAGGCCATGTGAGCAGGGATTTGAACTTGGTCTGCTAAGTCCTGGGCCCTGACCAGGACTTCCCCAGGGTCATCAATTCCTCAGGTTTAGTGTTGTCCTCTTCACCCCATCCCTCGTCCCCTCATCCAGCCCTCTAAGGATTTCAACCTCTTCCAATGTGGCATGGCTTCATCTTCCATTGAGATAATTTACAAGAGAATAGTCTTTAATATTTACTATCAAAGCACAAGAAAGGGGACAATGGTAGTGGTGTTATTATCTAAACCCAGCATAGCTCACACTCACTGTGGTCCACAGGATTTTTGGTTCCTGGATCTAGCCATCCATCCATTGATCCAACGAGCATTTACTGAGCATCCGCATGCACCAGACACTGTGCTGCATGCCTGGGTTACAAAGATGACCAAGACAGGGTCCCTGTCCTGAAAGCTCCTCATCAAGCCTTTGGTTCTCACCTCATCTCATCTCCTCAAGGAGACTGTGGCCCCCAGAGCACAGTGCTCCACACTCAACCCTAGGCTCATGTTGGGTTTTGTAAACACTTGTAAACTCAGCATCTGGACACAAGCAGGTACATCCCCGTTTCCTGCTCTCAGGTTCTCCATGTGGGCGTGGGAGTCAAGGGTCCCCTCAAACAGGTAACGTGAGGAGGTGCTGAAGCATTCCACTGCAGCTGTTTCTCCTAACGTTCTTGTGAGCGTTTTCAGGGCCCCAGACACCCAGATTGAGACAGGGGCCAGGCCAATTTGAATGCACACAGCCAGCCACTCCTCCATTCACTGCCCTCCCACCTATGCTTTCCCCTCCCGCTGGCCACCTGCCCATCCCCGCCTGCCGTGTCTGTTGCAGCGGACAAGGCCATCTCCATGCAGCAGGGGCTGTGCTACCGGTCGCTGGGGCCTGGCACCTGTGCCCTGCCTTTGGCCCAGAGGATCACCAAGCAGATATGCTGCTGCAGCCGCGTGGGCAAAGCATGGGGCAGCAAGTGTGAGAAATGCCCTTTGCTTGGCACAGGTAACCCTCTGTCCCCCTGTCAGCTCTGGCCACCAAGGGGCTTCCTCCAAGCCAGTGGCCATTTTCCACACCTGGACCTAACCTCTACCCAGAAGAGCCTTAGTCTTCCTTCCTGCCCAACTTACCCCAACCTGGGGTTCCCCTCTCCTTGCTGCCACAATTGTCTTGTTCCCCAGTGGGAGGGAAGGGAGGGTCCGGGGTTCCTGCAGGATTGGCATCTCCTAGCTTGTCCTCTGACCACTGACCTTGCAGAGGCGTTCAAGGAGATCTGCCCTGCTGGCCATGGCTACACCTACTCGAGCTCAGACATCCGCCTGTCCATGAGGAAGGCCGAGGAGGAGGAACTGGCCAGGCCCCCAAGGGAGCAAGAGCCGAGGAGCAATGGGACCCTGCCCAGGACAGCCGAGAGGCAGCCACTTCGGGCGGCCACCGACACCTGGCTGGAGGCTGAGACCATCCCTGACAAGGGTATCTGGGCTGGGGGGATGCCTGAGGGATTCCCCTTCCCCCTCAGGTTACAGCACCTCATAAGGCCACTGGGTGTTTATCCTGGACCCATGGCATCCCATCTGTGAGGCATTAGGAAAGGGAGTTTGAGGCAGCAGCTCCCAGCCCTGAGAACCTGCTCTCATGGCCTGGCATGACGGGAAGACCACACTCCCTTCCTCTTTCATTTGGGGTTAAGAGGTACCCATACGCTGGGAAGTTGTTGTGGAGGTGGGAGAGGTCAGCAGCAGCCCCCACTTCAGCTGATCGGGTCTTTCCTTCCCCTGTCCCCAGCCATCAGCGTGTGGTGCTTGCTGCAAGGCCTGAAGAGCTGACAGGTGGATCCTGGGGAGTCTGGGTGCTTTAGGTCTCTTCCCCTGGCCTTAGAGTCAGAGCACTAACTCCAGCTCAGCTGCCTTGGGCCAGGAGGCATGGGGCTAGAAAGAGACTAGGCTTGAGGCACCCCTGGCAGGTGCCCTGGGAAACCATGCAGAAGGCGTGCCCAGGTTACTGGTAGCACGGAGTGCAGGAGGCCAAGGACATACTAGGACCAGGACAACTAGGTGATGGCCAAAGTTGCTCCAGAATCTGGAACAGGGAAGTCTGGACAGAGCCCCAGTCATCACGGAAACTGGACACTAGCCAAGCCAGGAGAAACTCCTCTCCTTCCTAGAACTGTTCCCCTGGCCCATAGCCCAGGGCGGGGATGGAGTGACCAGTGTGGCTGGGAGGTTTGGGAGGGAGGAGGTGACAGTGCAAGGAGGATGGTGACTGGCCCAGCAGGAGGTTTCCTCTCACCACATGAGCCACCCCTCGGCCCTCCAGACCTGGGGTTCTGGGATCTGTGCTGGGCAGTCCCAGCAGGGTGGGAGGACAGAGGCAGGTAGGAAGAGTCCAGACTCTCTCTGCTGCTGACCGCTGCTCTGGGGACAAGGTCGGGGGGTTGCAGACTGGACCAGGCTTGGCCATGGTGGGAGGGAAGAAGGCAGCTAGCTCATTCTCTCACTTTTCCTTCCCAGGTGACTCTCAGACCAGCCAGGTGAGTGAGTCCTCCCACCAGGAAACTGGGCAAGCGTGGCAGAGAGCGGGACCTGGTAGCCACGGAGGCCATGGGGCAGTGTCCCATGAGGGAGGAAAGGGAGAAGGATGGAGTATATGTAGGATTTTACTTGGAGAGATGCTGAAGTGGGAGGGTTGATCCAAAGACCCTGTTTTACCCTAAAGGAAGGAGCAACAACAGCTCCTGTTTCTCAAGCAGCTGGGGCGCAAGCGTCTTCTCATTTGGGATGGTCAGGGGCCTCTTCAGAAAGGAAGTGGGAATGTGTCCTGTTAGTCCTGGCTGTCACTCAGGCACTGCGGACGAAATCTAGAAGTGGTTCCAGGTTAATTCCAGATTCGGCATCTTCTGAGCCTAATTTGCTTACACCTCAGGGTCCCCTCTGTGAGTGGCTCATGGGGACGTAGAAGCAGAGCTATGAACCACGTCACTGAGAAAGGGGGATCCCACTCCCTCCCCCGTGCCCAGGATTCCTCTGTAAAGAACTGAGTGTCCTCCTAGAAAAACATTCCAGAAGAGTGAATCTGCTTCTTCCCTCTCCAGTCTGCCAATCCCTACCCTGTCCCCTGTCCCTCCAACCTGCATAGCTGACTGTCCCCAAACACCATTTCTCCAGTGAGCTTCTTCTCTACCTGGAGAACCACAGGTTGCCCTCCCAGATCAAAGTTCTACTTCTGTGTCCTCATGGTGCCAGGCTGTGCTCCTGGCCCTGTCATCCTCTGCCTACTCTCCTCCCGGCTCCCCTCGCTCATCCACCTCTGTCCGTGGACTGTGGTGATAGACACCAGGTGTGGCCTGGGAGCCTGGCTTCACCACTTGCCCTGTGACCCTCAGTAGGCTAGTTAACCTCTGGAGCTTCTGTTGCTTTATCTGAGATCATAGCATTGATATACACTACTTGCTGGTATGACACCGAGCTGGCACATTACATACATTGGCTCATTTAATTATTACAACCTACTATCATAGGATAGTTGAGCAGATTAATTGAGACAGTGGACATAAAGTGCCTGGCAGAGCATAGTAAGAACTCATCAATACCTGGAATGAATGAAGAAGTGAATGAATGAGTTAGATGGGAAGCCTGGACACAGGGGTGAGTGTGGCAGAGAAAGCGCGTCATGGGGGCGACAAAGGAGCCAAGAGTGACTTCTCCTGTTTCTGTGCAGGTCACAACCAGTGTTACTCAAGTACCTGCCTGGGTCCCAGGTGAGTCCTTCCTCCTAGCGGCTCCCAGGAGGCAGAGAAGGGAGGGAAGGAGAGACCTTTAATCCAGTCGTGGAGTTAGTACACGTGAGCCGATGCATGGGGCTCAAGTCAGAAGAGGTCGGGGATGACGTGACAGGTGAATGCTTTTTCCGGGAGCCCTATACACCTAAGGTGCTGTAACGTCAGCGAAAGACACCGTGATGCTTTGTGAACATCCCCTAGCCACAGCACTCGTTCTGCACTCCATGGTGCCGCTTGGCATATAAGTGAGACCAAAGAGGAAGTGCGAGATGAAGCAGGGGCTGGTCAGGTCCCCGGAGCCTTTCCTCCAGTGGCCTGTTTTCCCTCGGGAGAAGGTTCCGGCTCTGCAGCGCCCAGCTTGCTGGTCACTACGGTGAGGGACAGGGCACTGTTCAGAAGTCAGAAAGCTGATGGGGCTGGCCCGGTGGCGCAAGCAGTTAAGTGCGCGCGCTCCGCTGCGATGGCCCGGGGTTCGCCGGTTTCGATCCCGGGCGCGCACCGACGCACCGCTTGTCGAGCCATGCTGTGGCGGCATCCCATATAAAGTGGAGGAAGATGGGCACGGATGTTAGCCCAGGGCCAGTCTTCCTCAGCAAAAAAGAGAGGAGGATTGGCAGATGTTAGCACGGGGCTGCTCTTCCTCACACACACGCACACAAGTCAGAAAGCTGAGCTTCAGCTTCCTCTACTAAAACATGCACACTAATGCCTGCCCTGCTGCCTCTGAAGGCAGAGGAGATGTTGGTGGTCATGGCAGAGCTCTGTAAACTGTAAAGCGCTTTGCAGACAGAAGGAGAAGCATACTGAAGAGGGAATCAGGAGACCTGGGCTTCGGCTCTGTCTCCAACAAGCTAGCTGGCCTCGGACAAGTGGCCATTTCTGCGAGCCTCAGTCTCCTCGCCTGTGAAATGGACGGTGAGACTGGATACACGCTAAGACCCGCTAGAGCTCTGACTCTGTCTGGAGCCAGGTTAAGTTTCAGGAGACTAGGAGGCAGAAGGCGTGACCGGCCCTAGGCTCCACCCTTGGTTCTCAGAGTCAGAACAGCAGGGAGGAGGGAAGGGCTGCTCCCAGCATCTCTGGAAGGAACACTGCCCAGGAGTGGGTAGGCAGCAGCCATGGGGCTGTGGCCCACCTGCTCCCTCCTCCCCTCTCCCCTCTGCAGGAGATGCCACAGGAAGACCAACACCACCACTGCCTGGACAGGGGACTCCAGAAACCCAGGAAGAAGAGCAAGTGACCACCCCTTCCAATGTGCTGGTGACCCCCGGCCCCTCAGGTACCTGCGGCCAGCCCTGTGACGTGTGGCTGGTGAGAGCCAAGTCCAGGGCCTCTCCAACCAGTGAACAGTCTCCAGTGAACTCTTACCCAGGCTCAGCGCCCCTGGCTTCATCTCACAGAGAGCACAGGGTGCCCTAGTGAACACAGGAGTCCTGCCCAGAGCACTGGTCAAGCCAGGAAGGAGAAAGAGAAGGGATGAGAAGGGACGCCTTGGTGGAGGGTCTTACTGAGAGGCCTCCCAGGAGAATCCAGGGGGCCCTCTTGAGGAAGGGGAGCATGTGGAGCCTCCGGGAGCCTGGCTCCTCCAGGCTGTTGACCTTGAGTCGGCTGAGTGCCCTGGCAGTGGGCAGCCTCCTGCCCACAGGGAGGGCTGACTTTCGGGAAGAAAAACAGTCCTAGTTCTCAAGGTTGTTTAACTGCCTGGGAGCCTGCCTTCCCTGCCCCTGGCCGGCTACAATGGTGAGGGGGTGTGGTATGGAGGAGATGCCTGGCAAATCCACCTTGTTCTGGAATGTGCCCTCCTCAAAGGCTCATTGTTTGGGGACTTGGTTCAAGAGAAGCAAGGCCAGTATTGCCGCTGCTGCTCTCTGCACATGTGTGCTCACGTGTGTGGGCTCACGTGGGCTCGTGTGTGCGCCCTCGTGCCTGCCCTTGTCAGGGGCTTGCTAATCTCTGAACATCACAGACTGAGGTCACCTTGGGGAAGAGGGGTATTTCCGGATTTCCTGTGGCAAAGGAGAGACCCTGCAGCCTGGTGGAACAGTACAGAGAGTGTGGGGTGAGGCTGGGGGTTTGGACTTCCCAGGCCTGAACCACAGTGTCCTCTCCTGGGACCTCTCTCCCCTGGGCTCAGTGCACTCTCCAGGGAGCGTCCTCGTCTCCACTCTGCTCGGCAGGCAAGATGAGCTGGGTTAAGGGGCTTAGTTGGGGATTCTGAGTCTCTGATGAGGAAAATAGGCCTGGAGGCAGGGACAGGGGGGCAAGAGGAGGGGCCCAAGCCAGGCTCAGCAGCAGCTCCCAGCTATCTGGAGGGACAGAATCCCCTCCAACCACCAACCACAGCATTTTGCCTGATCCCCCTTCTCCCCTGCCATCCCCAACCTCACCCCTCTGGGAGGACATTTAGAACCTGGCTGGGGGTCCCCACAAGCCCCCAGGCTGACACAAACTTGGAGCCCAGGCCAGGGACAGGGTGGCCTTGCAAACAGGCCAGTGTGCGTGTTCAGTTCAGTCCAAGGACCAAATGCTGTGAAGGCCCCCTGGGTATCAACACAGGCCGCATCCCGGCCCATTCCATTGGGTCTCCAGGGCTTGCTCAGTGCTGCGGGGCGGGGCGGGGGAGCCCTGGGTATGACCCCAGGGCGGACACAGAGGCCGAAAGCATCATTCATCCCATCGGTTATTTGTTTATTCAGCGTGTTCTAAGTGCCAGGTACTTTTCTAGTACTAAGGACACAGTTCCAAAAAGCTAGAGTCTGCCCTCTGTGCAGCCCTAGCCCTGAGTCCTCGTGAGTCTCCAAACTGTTTCTGAATTCAGCATCTGTTTCCCCATTTCTTACCCCATTACCCCCACTCAAGGTAGTCCTCCTCTAAATTATTCCAGCAGGTTTCTAAGGGCTCCCTGTGTTTCCCCTTTCATCTGCCGTCTTGTTGCCTTTCTGAGGAAGATGAGTGGTCTTTCTGAGACAGCTCTGATCATACCCCACCTTGCATGATCCCTTGCTTACAGGCCTATCTCAACACGGCATTCAAGGCCCTGCTCAGGTGGCCCCAGCCCACCTCTCCTTTCTTCCCCTGGCAGTTCTTCCCAAGCATCCTACTCTCCAGATCTGTCTGTCTGTCTAGGGGAAACTGGGCTGCAGTTGCCAGGGTGGGGAAGCACTGGGTACTGTGGGTGAGGGCTGTGCCTGTATTCAGGCTGAGGTCAGGCTGGAGGCCTCAGAGGGGAGGCCCTTTGCTAGGACATAGGACACGGGTTACTGGACCCCACTGGGTCTTAGTCAGAGGGATGCACTACTGTGAGCTCCATTCCAGCAGAGCTCAGGGAGGAGGTGCCAAGGGTGTCTCATGTGAGGCCATGCTGTACACGGATGTGGGAGGGCCCAGCTAAGGGTGAGGTGAGGCTTCTATGGGTCCTCTGAGGCCCCTGGGCCCTGCCCCCACATTCTCCCCACCCAACTCCACTGCCTTTGCCCATCACCCACCCCGCCATAACCTCTGCTTTGCGCTGTCTCCTACAGGCATTGACAGATGTGCTGCTGGAGGCACCCACATCTGTGGCCCTGGAACCTGCGTGAACCTCCCAGATGGATACAGATGCATCTGCAGCCCCGGCTACCGGCTGCACCCCAGCCAGGCCTACTGCACGGGTACTCACTCCAGCATCCTGGGCCCACTCAGAGGCTGGGGTGGATGGGAGCAGGGCTGGAGGACAGAGGCAGCAGAAGGTCTGGGCAGTGCTTTGGGTTGGGGAGCTAAGGAAGAGTGCAGTCGCTGTGGACAAAGCTAACCTTAACCTTGAGGAGACCAGTCTCTGGGAGCACCATCTGGTGAGTCTCCAGGACTCCAGGAGAGTGGGAAGTCACCCCAGGGCACCCGACTGGTGCCTGGAGCCCTCAGCTCTGACGTCAGCTCACCCCTCAAACTGGCCATCTTGCTTCCTGCAGAGCGGACAGAGGTCTGCCCTAGGTGTACATGTCTCCACCAGGGCCACCCTGGGGAGAGATTTGGGGCCAAGAAAAACAAATCATCAAGTGTGGGCCTGATCCCCTCCCCAAAATTTTATACAAGGGAAACACATCCACTGTGGTCTTAAAGGAGAAAGGAAGTGATCACAGGGCCACTGGGAGAGGGGACCATGGGGCAGGGAGGAGGTGCTGGGCAGCCCCTCGAGGCCCTCGGTGCCTGAGTGGACCAAATGGGCCAACTTTGTGGCTCCCAGCTTTAGAGATTTTTCATCTCCCCGGCCTCCTCTGCTCCTTCATCCCCTCCTTGCCCCACAGCACCATCCCCTGTCCAGCCCTTAGCGTGGGCAGATTGCTGGCAGGTGCCCAAAGAAAGGCACCGCTGGCCTCCCTGACCTCCCTTCCCTTCCCTCTGCTCAGACGACAACGAGTGTCTGAGAGACCCTTGCGCAGGAAAAGGGCGCTGTGTCAACCGCGTGGGCTCCTACTCCTGCTTCTGCTACCCTGGCTACACGCTGGCCACCTCAGGGGCCACGCAGGAATGCCAAGGTAAGCCGAGCCCACCCTTGCTGCTGGGATGGGCACAGAATCCCACAGATAGTGTTGGGGTGGAAGAGGATCCAGGCATTCACAGCACCCAGCCACAGCACTGCAGTGTGGGGAGTGTGGGGGCCACAGGAACAGAGACCTGGGCTCTGACCTGGACCTGGGAGGAAGCTACCCCTAAGAATCTGAAAAGAAGTCACATCCACAAAGGCTTCAAAGAACTGTGGCTGGAGCCAGGAGTGTGAGGGGGTCCGGGGACATGGCTGGAGATGAGGACCCAAATTCTGAGTGACAAGGAGCTGCTTTCATTTGGGGTAAGGAGGGGACTCTTGGCAGGCTGGGGAGCAGGCATGCCTTTGCAGAGGAACTCGGGTCCTCAGCAGCTCAGAGACGCCTGCAAGGCTTTGAGCTTCCCTGGGAAGCTCTGCACGGGACCTCTGGGTAAAGATGCTTCCAACGCAAATCCTTTAATACGCAGCATCTGTACTGTTGTATAATACACTCCACACACACGTTTACGAGTGAGCTCACAGGGAACGTGATGCAGTGCCTTCCAAGCAGTGCGTTAAGATTTGTAACCCCTGGAAACCCTTCCCCTGGAGAACGACACTGCTGTTCTTGGGGCTCACACTGCTGGTTCGGACCAGGGCAGTGGCAGTCACTCACAGGCCCCTCCTGGAGGCTGGGGAAGCTGTGTATGCTCCCATTGCCAGGGTCCCCTCAGGTTCTAATCCCCCAAGGATCAGGTCTGCTGAGACCAAAGCCACCCATGTCCCCTTGCCTGATTATGGGAGGAAGGAGAGTGGAGGAGACCAGCCACCTACAAACCGAGGAGTGGGAGATCTGCGTGCATCATTCATTCCGCACTCAAGCCTCGAGCAGCTGTATGCCAGGCGCAGTGTAAGCTATGGGGGTCCTGCGATGAGCGTGGCCTGAATGGTGGCTCTGTGGGACGAGGAGGCAACTGGTTCTGTATAGAGGAATGTGGGAAGGTTTCCCCAGAGGCTGTGTGGGCTGGGACGGAATAATAATAACTACCATTTAATGGGCACTTCCTCTATGCCAGCACTGTCCTAGCACTTTATTTTATGAAGTTCATCATCCCTACCCTATACAGTAAAAATCCTTATCCCCATTTTATGGTTTAGCAAACTGAGGCTCAGAGAGGTGAACTGAAATACTCAAGGACCTCACATCTTGCTGTGGCAGAGCTGGAAACAGAATCAAAGTCATTCCGGCCCCAAAGCATGGTTTGCTTCCAACAACATACTCCCTTACACACAGGGCGAAGGAAGGGAGGGCGCAGAGGGTGTTCCAGGGAAAGGGAACCATTTCTGCAAACAGCAGAGGAATGAACAAGCCTGGCAGGCTCTGGGAATAATGATAAATCCAGTGTGAGTGGAGTGTGGGGTATGTGGAGGAAGTGGCAGGGGCTGAGCCAGTTTGTGAAGTGTCTTGAGTGCCAGGCTGAAGTGCTTGGACGCTGTCCCGCAGGCAGTGGCAGCCAGTAGAGGTTTGTAATCAGAGGGTGGCTATGCGGTCAGCTGGCCTTCAGAGAGGTGACTCCGGCAGCAGTGCTCAGAACAGGCTGGAGTTAACGAGGCGAACGGCTGGGGGCACGGGGCTTCTCTGAGCTTCGCAGCTTTGGCAAGTGTTGTGGGCCAGAGGCACGGCTCCCTGCAGGCCCAGCCCGGGGCGCTGGCCGGGACAAGCAGTGGCTGCTGCAGGGAACGGTGTTGCCAGGACTGGCCCAGACAAGGGGTTCCGAAGAGTGCCAGCCTGGGTGTCTGGGATGTCTCTGCCAGACCCGACAGCTGGGGGAGGCGGGAGGGAGCTCAAGGTCAGTTGTCAGTGCTTCGTGGGGCCTGGCTGCTGCTTAATGAGGGCTTATCAGGATAACATCCACTTTCTAAATTTCACCAGTCTCGTAAAACAATCTCTCATTATTTTAATTATTTATGAATTATTTCATTAATTTATATAATTAATAGAATTCATTATAGTTTCTAGAATTCAAATTAATGTCAATGTAAATAATTGGTTGATATAAATTATTTGAATATTAAATATTTAACATTTACCTAACTAATAAGTATGAGTATCTCTTCATATGTTAGCCATTAGGTTTCCTTATCTGGAAATCGTTTATTCCTATCTTTTGCTCAGTTTCCAGTGGTGGTTGCTGTTTTTTCTTGTGGCTTTTTAGAAGTTCCTTATATATTCCAGATACTTGGCTGGGCTTAGATATTACAACTCTCCCATTTTGTCCTCTGCCTGTTAACCTTATCCACATGTCCTTCTTTTAACAGAAATCCTTAATTCTGATGTATTAAAATTCACCTTTTTGCCTTGTTTTTTATGCTTTTGGGGCTTTATTTAAGAAGTCCTTCCCCACCCTTAAGTCACAAAGATATTCTCCTATACTTTCTGTCATTGAAGTTATAGTTCACCTTTCACGGCATGCTTTAATCCATCTGGAGTCCATCTTTTTGTGGGTGTTAAGGGCCCATTTTTTTCCATTTCCATTTTTCTCTGTAAAGCAGCTTAGTTTTCCCAGCCTCATCTACCAGGCAATCATCCTGACCCCACTGGTTTGTGGGTCCTTTATCAAGTTCCTATACACGGCTCTGCCTCTGACTTCCCTTTTCTCTTCCATTGGGATTAGAGCTTCTCGAAGGAAGTGCCAGTTATTTCAGAATTGCCTGGAAAGTTATTAAAATGCAGGTGCCTGGGCCTGCATGGTACTGCTAGGTCAGAATCCCTGGATGTGGACCTAGGAGTGTGCATTTTATACCTGCTGCCAGCGACTCCCTGTGCAGTCAAGTTTTATGAAGTATTGCTCAGATGAAAACCTGTCCATAGACAAATGATTATTCTATTAATGCAATAAGTACTTTTGGTGGTTCTGTGCTCGGCATTAGGGACACTCGGATAATAAGGCACAGTCTCAGCAGTCAGGGAGAAAAAAGCAAGTAAATGAATAGTCACTATAGGGCTGGGTCCTATGGGAACACTGGAAAGGGGCATATGGGTTGGAGGGGAGAGGTCAGCCTCACCTGAGAGATGAATAGGAGACAGCCAAGCTGATGGCTGAGAAGCCACTCCAGGCAAGGGAACAGCATGTGCAGAAGCTCAGAAGCAGGTCCTGTGTGGCGGAGGCTAGGAGGTGTGTGGGAGGCAGGAGCCACGCTGAGAGAAGCAGGCAGGGGCCAGGTCATGAAAGATCTCACATGCCAAGCTGAGGAGCTTGGATTTTATGGGATAGGTTTAATGCCAGAATAATAGTAATAATAGCTAACATTTCTTCAGTGCTTACCTTGTGGCAGGCAGGCACTGTGCTAGGCCCTTCGCCTGGATTATCTCATTTAACCTGCACCAGGACTCTGTGAAGTGTTTGAACAAGTGCTGGGGGTGGGGGGCAAAGAGAATCCTCCATCAATTTGACTGTGGGGGCAGGGAATGGGGAGTGGCCAGAGCAACCTAGAGTTGATCAATTGAACCAGTCTTTGAAATGGGAGTAGGACTTTGCTGGCCATCAAACCAAGCAGAGGCCTTTATGTGAACAAAAGCTTGGAGGCTGGACCAGTGGAGATCAGCCAATACAGCAAGGCTGGGGTCAGGTGGCAGTGGCCTTGTGGGCCCAGCTGAGCAGCAGGGAACCCTGGTAGGAGTTAAGAAGGGGAGTGCTATGACCAGAGTTGGGCTTTTGAGCCATCGTGGGGCACCAGCAGGCTTTGGGACAATGGAATAAACCACATCGACAGAGCCACAGCTGCCTAAGATGCTGTCTCTCACTGGCTGCTTAATCCCTAACCTTTAAGAAGGCCCTTAAGAACTCTACGAGCAGACTTCTGGGGGATGTACTGGGCTCAGGAGGGGGCCTTTGTTGGCCTCCTCAGATCATGCTATATGGACCACCACCTGACCTCAAGATCAGCCCTTGTATCGGGGTGAGGAGACAGCAGTGAGGGTCCCCAGGGACCCCAAAAGTAGCCTCTCCTGGGAGAAAGGGACTCAGGGTTTGCAGGGCCTGAGCGAGATCAGTCTTGGACCTGGCATAGGAGCCCCCTGCCAATCATAGCTGCAGCAAGGATGCCTTCCCTGCCTGGGCCTCAGCATGGGCATCCTTGTCCTCGGCCTCTGAAGGGATGCCGCAGGACCCCCTGCAGGGCTGGCCCCAACTCAGGACTTTTCTCTGTGTTCACAGACATAGACGAGTGTGAGCAGCCAGAGGTGTGCAGTGGAGGGCGGTGCACCAACACAGAGGGTTCGTACCACTGCGAGTGTGACCAGGGCTACATCATGGTCAGGAAGGGACACTGCCAAGGTAAGGAATGGGATGCCCCCCACCGTCTCCTGCTCCCTCCCCACCATCTCCTGCTCCATTCCCACGGGCTGCCCACCACCGACTCCCCTTCCAGCTTATCCCAGCCTGGACCCCTTGATGCCAAGCCCATTCCTATGGACAGAGGCCTGTCTGGGAATTCCAGAGCCCTTTTGTCCTCTTAGTGAGATTTTTGTCATCCTGTCTGCCCCTGCAGCAGGGGAGCACAAGTAACTTTATGTACATAAGACCCCGGGAACATGCCCTCTGTACACCTCTGCCTCTCAGCCTGAATCTCACTGCTCAGGAAGAGTCGGTCTATCTGGGATGTGCCTGGGCCTTGGCCTATTGCTAAAGCTTGTCAGGCTGTGAGCTACTCAGGGCTGGACCGTATCCTTAGATGACCCATGCATGGACACCTAATAAATGTCCATGTGTTGGACACACCAACAAATGCTAGTTGAATAAATGAATGAATGCGCCCTGATCCTTGCCCCCTTTCTGAGGCCCCGTCACAAGGTGGCTGTGACATTGCCATCTGATCTCCTCGCAGACTGGCTTCAACCTGCCACTATCAGGCCAGCTCCTGGCAGCTCTGCCACTACCACCTCCCTGCCAGTTGTGGGGTGTCAAATGCTTACAGGAGGTCTGGGTCATGTGCTCCCAAGACTGGCTGAGACAGGAATAAATGAGGGCAAATCAAGGCTTTCTCTGGAAAGAAATCTTGCCCCAGATCTGAGGTTAGGCCAGACTCCCGCCAGCCTCCAGGTTTTTCCTGGCCAGGACTTGCCTGGATTCAGAGGGTCCTGGAGGTTAGGGATGAGCTCGTGTGCCTTGTGAAGGGAGAGCCCCCCTTCCCAATGCCGCTGCCACAGAAGCAAAGTCCAGAGTCCAAGGAGGTCTTACAATGGGGAGAGGAGGCTGGGGGTATAGGACAGACAACTCTCTGTCTGTACCCACAGCATGTCACCTTCCCCTCTCAGTGCCTCTCCCTTTAAAACTCAGACCTCCACAGGATCGAAGCCAGAGCCCCCTCCCCTTGCCCTCATGAGCATGATGGAGACAGAGAGCCTGGCTTTTTCCAGGAGAATGGAGAGTGAAGGACTTCGCATTTGATGGTGCCTGCTAATGCCGTGTGCTGTGCTAGGAACTTGGTAGATTACTTCATTTAGCATCACAACAACATGAGTTTGACTTTATTTTTTAAAAAAGCCAAACTAGGGCCGGCCAGGTGGTGCAAGCAGTTAAGTGTGCGCGCTTCACTGCGGCAGCCTGGGGTCCGCCGGTTCGGATCCCGGCTGCGCACTGACACACTGCTTGGCAAGCCATGCTGTGGCGGCGTCCCATATAAAGTGGAGGAAGATGGGCACAGATGTTAGCCCAGGGCCAGTCTTCCTCAGCATAAAAAAAAGAGGAGGATTGGCAGATGTTAGCACAGGGCTGATCTCCTCACAAAAAAAATAAAAATAAAAATAAAAAAGCAAAACTAAAGGAAATGAACCAAGAGAAGACCAGGACATTGAAAAGATCAGACTTACACTAACTACTGTCTGTGTTTAGGGCACATGCTCTGGCGGAGACAGGCTTGGGTTTGGCTCTTGTCTCGACGTCTGAAAATGGAAACCATAATGCCCATCTCAGATGCTCTTGTGAGGACCGAATAACCTAACACTCACACAGCGCACAGACAGCCCCTCAGTGAATAGGGTCAGTGTTACTATCTGAGGGGCCCGTTCTTTTTCATGTCTAGATTGCCCCCACACCCTGGTCCATGCCTCTGGATTGCCCCCTTCCCTTCCGGAGGAAGGTTCCAGACACACACCTTGGCTGGAAGGTCAGGCTGAGTTCCTGGCCCAGGGCAGACACTCTGAATCTGTTGAAAGAAAGACTGATGTAGCCTGCACACTTCTCCAGGTTTCCATCGGTAACCACAAACCCAGCCCATCACCCTGGGAGCCCAGTCAATTTCCTCTCCCTCTTTCTTCTTTCTCCAACTACGAAACCACTCTCTCCAGTTAAACTCAAAGTCTCTAGTGCAAGGCCTGAGTGGTCTGGACAGCGGCCCATCCAAAGGCTCAACGGCATTTCCGTCGTACCAGGACTCTGGGTTCCCACGGAAAGCAGTTAGATTCCCCTGCAGCCTGCCAGGGCTTTGCTCTCCCCACCCACATCCAAGGTCACCTGAGCTTCTGGCCCCTGATGTTCTCACATGGGCCAGACACGGCGCCCTTACATTCCTCATAGAAAGACTGAAGTGCTGGTCAGAGAAGCTCCAGGATCCTCCTGTCTACAGACAGCAGGGCGGCACACTGCTCCCCAGGGTGGCTGTTTCCATGGGTCTTCTGGGGTTTCTTCCGCAGCCTCATACCAAGAGGGGGTGAAGTTTTCATCACATGGTCTCATTCCTCGGTCAGCAAACATTTGTTGAGTGCAGCTGTGTCCCAGCCATGGTCTAGGAATATAGCAATAAAGAAGACAGATAGCTCCTGCCCCAGACCACAGGGTAAAACCTACCAGAACATACCATAATCTCAGATTAAAATTCAAACCCTAGACTAGGCAGAAAAATTTGGCTCAAGTCCAGGCACCAAGAGGTTGGTGGAACAGCCTCAGGATATCTAGTGACATTAGAGCCTGTGCCCTTAACACAGACTGGTTAGAAGTGGAATCCACTTCATCCAGAATCTTTATCTGGCTCCTTTTGATTGGCTTGGCTAATGGCTCCATTATATCCACTCCCGTTTAGAAGAGGCCTTCCCTGGCTCAGGTGGAGACTAAGGGCTGCTTTGATCTTCTCCCCTCCCTCTCCCACTTGCTAACAGACCTCTCATGTATGACAGTTGCTGGCTGGGGCTCTGGTCTGAGGAAGGAAGCCAGCAGGGGTGTGCCAGGATAGACCAGGTTATGTTTCATTAACAAACAACTCCAATCTTAGTGACTTAGAACTCAGCAAAGTTTCTCCACATGTCCATCATGGGTCAGCTGGGGGGCCTGCCCCATATTTCCTCATTCTAGAACCAGGCTAAAGGAGTAGCCAGCATCTTGAATGTAACCAGCCTCCATGGAAGAAAGGAAGAGCACTCTGCAGGGCTGCACACAATTAAATGCTTTGGTCCAAAAATTATACACATCATATCCACTCATAGCTCATTGGCCAGCACTAGTCCCCTGGCCCCACTCAACCACAAGGAACCAGGGGGCACAAGCCCACCCTGGAGAGCTGGAATATTTAGTGAACAGCATTAGCACCACAAGTCTTCCAATGCCCAGCGTAAGACACTTCATGTACCACCTCCACAGATGTGCCCAGAACATTTGGGACAGGACAGACCTCAGGGCTCTTTGCTCCTGGTAAATCTAATCCCCTTCCTACACTGCGTGATCCCTGTGGGACAGGTGCAGAGACTTCATTTTTTCTCAGTGTGGTCTTAGAGGAGGATGCTTGCTTCATTCTCTTTCTCTTCATCCCCGAAGTTTCGCATCCCTGAAGCAGAGATTGCTTATCATTCCCAATGGCTTTGCCCACCCTCCTTCTGGTGCCTCAGCCAAGGCCAGCAGCCCATGGTGCTGGCTGCTCTCTCCTGGGTGGCCAAAGCTGGTGGTCCTAGATCCTTCATTCCCTCCATCTCTGTCTTTATAGAAACTCTTAGAATAGCCTAGCCTGGTGTCGCCACAACCAAGCTAGGGGCTCTTGGCTGCCCTCTTCCAGAGATGAGCCTTATCTCAGTGTCCCCAAGATTACCAGGGAGTTCTGGGTATCTCCTTGCAGATACTCACCTGAATAACCACCTGCCCTGTATATGTTTTCCTCTTCCGGACCCTCAGGGTGAAGTTCTGGCCTTGAGAGGGCCCGTTCCCAGGGACAGGGGGCTTTGATGTGTCCTGTCTTCTGCAGACCAAACAACCTCAGGGCAGACTCATTTTCACCCTCCACTTCAGGGCCCATGTCCTATTCCATAACAACAGCTGCCTGCTTTAGTCCCTTTGCAGAAAGCCTATGTTCTGACCCTTGGCCCTGCCTCCTGCATTTCCTCCTAGATGCTAAGTAGGTCTTCCTCCCAGGCAGTAGGGCCTCTGAGTCTGTGTAAGCTGGTAGACTTCCTCTAGAAGAATGACAGTTACTCACTTAGGAAGAGTAAATCCTCCTGTTTCCTCTGGAGCTCGGTCAATCTCTCTGTCATGAGTGGTGACTGGGAGCCTCAACACTGGGCTGGAGGAGCATAATGTCCTCCTGCAGTCCCGACCCAGAGTTCAGTCCCTGCGATATGACCTCCCTAACTCAGCCCAGGTCCCCTGGATGCCTTGGATGATGGACTCCCTGATATGCCAGGTCATATGGGGAAGAACCCTGTCAGAAGTTCCTGGGAGCAAGATCTCCTCCTCCTCCTTGTTGTCACTCTCCCAGGACTGGCTCCTCCTCTCCCTCCGTGGGTCCCTTCTTCCCCTGTTCATCCGTTTGGTGCTCAGGCTCTTCCTTTCTTGCTGATTTCCTGGATCTCACCAGAGTGGGTGCTGGGAGCCCTACATGGTTCTTGGCTGGAAGGAAAGTCTCCTGTCCAGCAGAGAAGCCTTGCCAGCCTCCACCCTTAACTCTGCATCAGCCTCAGGGCTGGTCTTGGCTTCATCCAAGATTGCAGTCACCCTCAGCGCCCATTCCTGGTGCAGGGAAGCCCCTTTTGCCGTCATTGCCCAGCTGGTGATCAATGCTGGGCCTCTGGGGCCTGCTGTAAAGGAATCTCAGTAATTGCCACCACTTGTACAGGAACAGGAGTTCACCAAGGGAGGTATGAACACCCTTCTCAACAGTCCACAGTAGAGCTCTTTCACCCTCCCACAGCTAGTGGTAACCACAGCCTCTTGCACCCACTCAGGGAGTCTCCCTGTCTAAAGTTCTTCCATCTCTCTCTTGTCCAGGACAGTGGGCGGGAGGTGGAGTTGGGAACACAGGACAACACTCACTTTTTCCTAGTTTCCATCTGCAGAGAAACTGACATCCCTCCCTCTCCCCAACCAAGGGCAGGGTCAAGGATTTGCTTCCTCACAGACCTACCCATGTGCTGTGGTTCCCAGGGATGACCAAGGGAGGGGCTGTTATTTTACAGATATCGACGAATGCCGTCACCCTGGCACCTGCCCTGATGGGAGATGCGTCAACTCCCCCGGCTCCTACACTTGCCTGGCCTGTGAAGAGGGCTACAGGGGCCAGAGCGGGAGCTGTGTAGGTGAGGGCTGCTTGCCAAGGCACAGAGAGGGCTGTTTGGCCTTGGGACCTCTGGATGAGCCCTCACACAGGGAGGGAAAGAGGTGGGCAGAGGAAATGGCTTGGAGACTATTGTCCCCCATGATCGGGCTGGGTTCCCGGATGACGCTGGGCATGAGATGGGTGTGCTTCAGTTACTGCTGCTCTGCCCTCTGAATCAGCTAGGGTGGGGGCCCCTTTGGCTCCTCGGCCATATCCATCCCAGAGCTATAGCCCAAGGTCCCAGAAACTTCCGTGGCTGGATCCTGCTGGGTAGAGAGAGGTGCTAAGCACCTTAAGAAGTGGCTGACTCTCAGGGGCTGGCCCCGTGGCTTAGCGGTTAAGTCCACGCGCTCCGCTACTGGCGGCCCAGGTTCGGATCCCGGGCGCGCACCGACGCACCGCTTCTCCAGCCATGCTGAGGCGGCGTCCCACATCCCACAGAAGGATGTGCTGCAACTATGACATACAAGTATCTTCTGGGGCTTTGGGGCGAAAAAGAGGAAAAATAAAGGAGGAGGATTGGCAACAGATGTTAGCTCAGAGCCGGTCTTCCTCAGCAAAAAGAGGGGGATTGGCATGGATGTTAGCTCAGAGCCGGTCTTCCTCAGCAAAAAGAGGAGGATTGGCATGGATGTTAGCTCAGGGCTGATCTTCCTCACAAAAAAAAAAAAAGAAGAGGCTGACTCTGGTGGTGTGAGCCGGCAGCCAGGCCCTGCTGTGGTTCCCAGGGAGGAGGGGTCTTCTGCTCTTGTGCATCTCCACAGCAATGTCTAAACAGCAATGCCTAACTGAGCAGTGGGTGCTCTTCTCCCTCCAGAGCGGGCTACATGTCAGCTGTAGGAGGAATGTTCTTTTCCCTTAGCCCCCGCAGGAAGAAGGGCCTGGGGTTCAGAATGCCAGCAGGGACTGAGTTGTGAATAGATGCTTTGAGGCTCTGGAGAGGGCAGACATTTCCCAGGCCTTTGAGAGTGCCACTCAGCCACCCAGGCATAGCTTGGCCTCTCTCTGCATTGCCCACTCACCTACTGAAACTGGTTGTTGGGCTGGGAACATGGTATCATACCAGTTTGGTTGGCAGATGGGGGACCAGAGATGTTCAGACCCACTGTAAGGTGAGTCAAGGGTCTTGAACACTTCACTCCACGTGTCTTCAGATGGGCCAAACCAGCCGCAGGGCTGGGGGACCTAGCCCCCTTTTCCAGGACATATGTAACCTGTGTTACTAGATAGAGCTGAAGTGAGCTCAGGGGGGAAGGGCACCCTGCCCTGCCCAGGTGGGTGGGGCCAGGAGCAGGAATGATCTCATGGCCTTCCCAGGGTGGCCTATGGCTCCCCTGAATGCTGATTCCCTGGCCTCATAAATGAGATGCTCTAAGCCTGACAGTGTGGGCTGCTTGCAGGAGAGGAGGCCAGCCCGCCATCTTGGACTTTTCTCCCACAGATGTGAATGAGTGTCTGACCCCGGGGGTCTGCGCCCATGGAAAGTGCATCAACCTGGAGGGCTCCTTTAGATGCTCTTGTGAGCAGGGCTACAAGGTCACCTCAGATGAGAAGGGCTGCCAAGGTATAAGATGCTGAACCACCCTTCCTCCACAGGCAAATCAGCTTGTAGCTTCTTCCCTCTGCAGACACACTCCTAATCCACCTCTGGTCCCACATCCCTAACCATACTGACCCAACACATCGCTGCCAAGACCTGTCCTTTCCCCTACCCTGCCCACCTGTCAGTCTCTGGCTGTCCTGCCATGTCTGTCCTGCAGAGTGCCACACAGAACTCAATGGCCTGTTTCAGATGTCGACGAGTGTGCCAGCCGGGCCTCATGCCCTGCGGGCCTCTGCCTCAACACTGAGGGCTCCTTTGCCTGCTCGGCCTGTGAGAGTGGGTACTGGGTGAATGAAGATGGCACTGCTTGTGAAGGTAACCCTGGGTTTGGCAGAGTGGGACTGAGAATATAGGCCTTCTTACCTCCCAAAGAACACATTTGTCCCCCAGCTTTGGGCTGATGCTGAGGATCTCCAGCCTAGGCTAGAGGATCCTATAAATGGACTTGGCCCCAAGCAGAGCTTCTATTGTCATAACCCCCAAGTTTGGAGGTGAGGACAGGAGGAAAAGGGAGTTTCACAAAAACAAGAGGGAAGCTGATGGTAGAGCTGCCCAGGAGCATTCTGGGAACAGGTGCTGGGATTGCCCTGTAGAAGGCCCACAGCCAGGGTCTGCCCTTCCCCAGGAAGCCGGAGAGAGTCCTACAAGCTCAGAGGTATGGGGAGGCTCCTGCCTTGCCAGGTGGAGGGAGCCCTCCAGAGCCCCCCGGTTACTGGCTGTCTGTCTGCCCCAGACCTAGACGAGTGTGCCTTTCCGGGAGTCTGCCCCTCAGGAGTCTGCACCAACACTGCTGGCTCCTTCTCCTGCAAGGACTGCGAGGAGGGCTACCGGCCCAGCCCCCTGGGCCACACCTGTGAAGGTGAGAGCCCCCCGTCAGGGAGGAGAGCACACAGGATGCAGGAGACTAACACATCACCCTTAGAGGAGGGAGCGACCAGGACACAGCAGGGGCTGTTTCCAGACAAGAGGTCCCTCTGTCCACCTCGGATGGAGGGCTAGCTGGGAACACCTACTCTCATCCCTCCCCCAGCGGGAGTCGGAAAGGTGACTGCAGATCTGGGTCTGGGGGGCCAATAAGCCACTGGCTCACAAGCTTCATTGTGTGTCAGCGTTGCTGGAAGAGTTTGTTTGACATGCGACATGCAGCTTCCTGCGCCTCGTCCCAGACCTGTTAAATCAGCTCTTGGGATCTGTTTTCGAAAAACTCTGCAAGAGTTCCTCGTAAGAGTGGGTGCTGGGACCATATTTGGAAAAACATCGCCCTGTACCAGGCGATCCGTAGGTCAACTTGAAGAATCTTGTTTCTGTTACCTTCTCAGGTTCTCTGAATCTGTTTCCTTGGTTTATTTCTCATTTGTTTTCCCGTTGCTTCTCAGTAAAATTTAAGCCATCTCAGCCATGATAAGGACAGTGGGGTTTGGCCACCCTAGGCCAGGGTTGCTGGGAGAGGCCGAGCGTCCCCAAGGTGGGCATTGTGTGGGAGAAGCCCAGCTGGAGAAGCCCAGCCAGAGGCAGGGGGGCGCCTCCTGGGCTGGGGCAGAAGTGGAGGGAGCTGCAGTCATTCTGCTCCCCGAAGCCTCCCTCACCAGCTTCTCCCAGCTCTGCTGCTTTATAAGGGTATGATGCCCCTATGGGTCCAGTCTCCTCAGGCAGGTGACAGGCCCTCTGGAGACCTCTCCATTGGTTTCTGTCCTTGGGAGGTGCTGCCATGGGCTGCCTTCCTCCCTGTGTGACCCACAGATGTGGATGAGTGTGAAGACCTCCAGAGCAGCTGCCTGGGAGGCGAGTGCAAGAACATGGCTGGCTCCTACCAGTGCCTCTGTCCCCAGGGCTTCCAGCTGGCCAATGGCACCGTGTGTGAGGGTGAGTGGCTCAGGTCTCCGCACTGGGGACTGGGGGCAGTGAGTGTGTGGGGAGGTGGGAACATCCCAGGAGACACCACTGCCTATCTCCTCCCCGCAGATGTGGACGAGTGCGTGGGAGAGGAGTACTGTGCACCCCGCGGCGAGTGCCTCAACAGCCATGGGTCCTTCTTCTGTCTCTGCGCTCCGGGCTTTGCCAGCGCAGACGGGGGCACGAGCTGCCAGGGTGAGAAGCCAGCTTGGCCCTGTCCACTTACCAGCAGCAGGGGGCGCTAGAAGCTATGTCTAGAGTACTGAAATAAAAATGCTCATGGTCCCACCCAGGGATGGGAAGAAGGGAGGCTGAGAGTGATGAAAGGAAGCCAAGTGTCAGGGAGGGACTCGGAATCTTTCCCCAGGGCTTCTCCATGACGTCTATGGCAGCCATGCACCCTGAGAACTCTCAGAGTATCACCCTTCTCCCCTTGACAGAGCCCCAGTTCCAAGCGTCCTCCCCCCAGCATGGCCTCTGGCTTCCAGCTCTCGCCTCTCTCGGATCTTCCAGCCGTTTCCTACTCTGAGCCACTCCTTGGCCCTCCTGTGGGCTCCTCGGGGCCCAGAGGAAGCTGCACAGAGCCCTAGGGACCCATGGCTGCGTCTGCTGACAAACGTCTCTATTCTAGATGTGGACGAGTGTGCAGTCACAGACCGGTGTCTGGGAGGACACTGTGTCAACACCGAGGGCTCCTTCAACTGTCTGTGCGAGACCGGCTTCCAGGCCTCTCCAGAGAGCGGGGAGTGTGTGGGTAAGGACTCCGGGGGGAGTGGACAGGGCTCTGCCCCACCTCAGCCCACCTCCACGCCTGCCTGGTCCTCAGCTCCCTGGGACCAAGAACTGTAGCTTCCAGGAAGCAGAACTCTTTCCACAGATTAATTATCCAATGGATAATGCATTTATTGAGCCTCTGCTGACTCAGGGACTGTCTGAGGATGACAAAATGAAGACAATCATAATCCTTGTGCTAGCAGGGCACACAATCAAGTTTTTAAAGCCAAACTGATTCAATAGACATTTATTAAACAGCTGCTAGGTTCAATGTCTTTTGCTAGGACAAACAGACAGTTATGGACAATCTTGAAATTGAGCAAGGGAGACCTATGAAGACAACTCTCTGTAGTAATACACTTTAGTGAAGGTTTTACATAAAGTGTTCTGCTGTAGGGAGAAGGGGGGAGCGTCACAGAAGGCTAAGAGCTCAGTGCTTTCCTGAACAGCATCTAGCTCTCTTCCTAGACACTCATCCCTGCTGGGTCAGGGGAAATGATTCTGAACTTGGTGTTTTGGGATTGAGATGAGCACAGTAATTTAGAACAGATCAAGGACCCCAGAGGTTGTGGGGCATGACCTTGTAATGCCAGAGAGGTGGGGCCAGAGCAGTGACCTGGCCAATTCTGTCCCCTCTCATGGCTCTGGGGACAGATATTGACGAGTGTGAGGACTCCGGAGACTCGGTGTGTGGGGCCTGGAGGTGTGAGAACAGCCCTGGCTCCTACCGCTGTGTCCTGGGCTGCCAGCCTGGCTTCCACAAGGCCCCGACTGGAGACTGCATTGGTGAGTAGGGAAGGGTTGTTGGAGGTGAGAAACTGAGGACATCCATTTTTCATGTATCCAGCTAGAAACTATTTTCTCCTGAGGACCCTATTTTGCAGCTGTTTGCAGTCTGCATATTTTCCATAGACAAATACTGAAGAGGAATGTTAATGTTAGAGTTTTCTTGTCCTGGGTTTAGAAGTTACTTTTCACAGATCTTGGTGTTCATAGACCAAATAATTAAGTATTCCCAGCAAATAAAGAGAGCGCGAGAGCACACCCTATACTCTGGTCCCCACTGTCCCACAGACATAGACGAGTGTGCCAACGACACTCTGTGTGGGAGCCACGGCTTCTGTGACAACACCGACGGCTCCTTCCGCTGTCTCTGTGACCAGGGCTTCGAGACCTCGTCCTCCGGCTGGGACTGCGTTGGTGAGAAGCGTACAGGGCTTGGGTCCTTTATGCCATCTCCACAGATCTTGGCCATCCTGGATAGAGGCTCTAGGGCCCTCTTCCTGAAATGTTTAGGGTCACATGGCTCCATAATAGGTCCTCATAGAGTGAGCGAGGAAAGGAGATTTCAGCTCCACCCTGCAGCTGGCACCTTGGCCAGGCTGTAGCGGAAGCGTGGCCACGTTCTACCAGCAGGGGGAGCAAGCACATTAATGAAGGCGCCACCCTTCTCCAGAGACCTCAGGGTCTCAAGAGGCACGTTTGGAGAATGTGCACAAAGGGAGGAACCCTTCCTCTTTGTCCATTTAGTGACTCCTTTCTGCCACCCTTCTCCCCTCTCCCTTCTCATGTCCTCTGTTCATCTGTTCCTCCTTCCTGCTAACTCATACCCACTTCTGCCCTTCCCCCAAGGCCTAGCCTGTTTCTTTTGGGGGATTTAATAAGGATCTGCCCACTGGGCTGGAGGCAGGGGCAGGGGGCCTGGGTTGCCTCTTCTCTGCCCATGATCCTGTCCTCCTGCCTGGCAGACGTGAATGAGTGTGAGCTCATGCTGGCCGTGTGTGGGGAGGCACTCTGTGAGAATGTGGAGGGCTCCTTTCTGTGCCTCTGTGCCAGTGACCTGGAGGAGTATGACGCTCAGGAGGGACACTGCCGCCCACGGGTGGCTGGAGGTGAGCACACCCCATACTCCACCCTGTCATTATGCATAACCACTCTATGGCTGACAAAGCGCTTCCAGTGCTCCAGCTCTTGAGAGGGAGCCTGGGCTGGGATTAGGGCAGTGTGGGCAGGGGTGCAGTTTACGAATGGAGTGTGGAGAGGCAAGGAGTCTGACTGCAGCAAATGTCAAGACAAGAGGGGGGTCTGCTCCAGGTCAGGGAATATGGAAGAGGCCGCAGGGCTGTGACGACCCTATAGGCGGCTCAGGAAGCTCTGATGCCACTTAGGTTGGCCCCAGGGATCTCAGATTGAGCCTTGGAGGGACCCTCAATCCAACCTCAGGGAGCCCTCTGGGTGAGGGAGGCCTTGAAGCTGAGCTAAGCTCAACTATCCCTCCCCACTGCACCCCAAAGCTGCTGGGTTCAGCCTCTCACCCCAGGCTGGGCTAGGACTCAGCTGGCCTTCTCTGACTCGGGGAAAAGAAAGCAGGACCTAGACCAAGGAAGGGTGGGAGGGGCTGAGGTATGGTGTGAATACAGGAATGGGCAGAGGGCTACATGTATGGTATGCAGGGACTGGGGACACCACACTAGAGTGGAGGAAGGCAGGGTAAAATGCTGCAGAGAGGAAGTGGGGTCAACTCCCTGCTATGCCACTTAATAGCTGGTGGCTGTGTCAAGTCACCTAGCTTCTCTAAGCCTCAATTGCCTCCTCTGTAAAAGGGAGCTGATGATGATAATACCCACCTCATAAGGTTACTGAGAGCATCAAGTGAGGTAACATAGGTAAAAGCATTTTGTACACTGAAAAGTGCTATATAAATGTTAAATTTTAAAAATAAATTCAAAGGTTAGGGTGCCCCAGAGGGCCATGAAGAGACAATAATAAGGGGCATCTATCACACATAGGTCAGAGCATCCCTGAGGCCCCGCCAGGGGACCACCTCCCAGGCCCCATCCGCAGGGAATGCTACTCTGGACAGAACGGCCAGCCAGCCTGCTCCAGCCTCCTGGGCCGGAACACCACGCAGGCGGAGTGCTGCTGTACCCAGGGCGCCAGCTGGGGAGACACCTGTGACCCCTGTCCGGCCGAGGACTCAGGTAAGGCCCCCGAGGGTCCCAAATCCTCTCAGGGTCAGCTCTTCACGGTGACACTGAAAGGAGAGAGATGAAGGGGGCAGAGCCCTTCTCTCTCTGAGCTCGGATGCCTCCCTGCAGTTGAATTCAGTGACATCTGCCCCAGTGGTAAAGGCTACATCCCTGTGGAAGGAGCCTGGATGTTTGGACAGACCACGTACACAGGTAACCTCCCTATGGACCCTCCAAACTCCACTCACCTGAGTGGGCCCAGCCTGGTCCTCCGGGAGGTCCCTGGGGAAGCTCTGCATGCAGCCGCGACCTCCCAGGTCACATCCACCCTTCCTGTGCCAGGGCTGGCTACCTGCAGGTTTTTAGCCGGCAGTTCTGACCTGAGCTCCTCCTGCAGTGTCCATACAACCCCACCTCAGGTTCTCTGCTTCCCTGAGGCTAAACTCTCCAGGAACAAACTGTGATGCCTTGTACTAACCCGGGCACAGGGACAGAGTGGGGAGTACTGCTGCATAGAGGTCAGAGGCAGCTGCTTATCTCCCTAGCCCCACTTACAAGGCCAGAAACTTTGGGGAACCCATATCACAGTGTTAGTTCCGGTAGGAGCCCTTCAGCACCCTAGTCCTGAAGCTGGAGAAGGAAATAACAGAAACAGAAGTAGCTTTTCTTGAGTGCTTGCTATGTGGCAAGACTATTTTAAGTACCCTTCCTGTATTAACCTTTTAATCCTCACAACAACTGTGAGAGCTTAGTAGTAGTGTCCATGTTTGTTGGGCAGGAACTGAGGCAAGGAGAAGTGAAGCAACTTGCCCAAAGTCACCCAACTAGCAGGTGGCAGGGTCAGGATTCAAACCCAGCAAGTCTGGCTCTGGAGCCCCCAGTCTTAGGTACCACTCATACTGCCTCTCACCTCCCGCTCACCTCAGCCCTGCCCCCCACAGATGCTGACGAGTGTGTGATGTTCGGGCCTGGTCTCTGCCAGAACGGCCGGTGCCTCAACACGGTGCCTGGCTACATCTGCCTGTGCAACCCTGGTTACCACTACAATGCCGCCCGCCGGAAGTGCGAGGGTGAGGACACACACCACCCCTCCCCACCCCCTGGCCCACAGCTGAATGCTCACCCAGCCCCTGCCAGCCAGCCCCATTCTTGCTGGGAGTTCCCCATCCTGGGGAAGATGCCCACTGCAGCAGACAGGTCTGAGGTGAGGGGAGCTCAGGGGCTGTCAGGGATTGCACAAGGAGACCTGTTGGTGCTACATGTGCACAATGAAGCAGGGTGCTACCTCTTCATTATCAGTTACGGGAAAACCCCCTTCCATGAAGGCGGTCTGTGGGCATGCCGCCGTGGCACTGCCCCACATGTTCCTCCCGTCTTCCTGGCACCACAGATCACAACGAGTGCCAGGACATGGCCTGTGAGAACGGCGAGTGTGTGAACACGGAAGGCTCTTTCCACTGCTTCTGCAGCCCCCCTCTCACCCTGGACCTCAGCCAGCAGCGCTGTGTGAACAGCACCAGTGGCGCAGGTCAGTGGGCCTGGGGCGGCAGGGCAGCAGGGGCCGTGGACCCGGGCTGAGGGTGTTCACGTGCCTCTGTGCCCTGCGCCACCAGAGGACCTGCCTGACCACGACATCCACATGGACATCTGCTGGAAAAAAGTCACCAATTATGTGTGCAGCCAACCCCTGCACGGGCGCCGCACCACCTACACAGAATGCTGCTGCCAGGACGGAGAGGCCTGGAGCCAGCAGTGTGCTCTGTGTCCCCCCAGGAGCTCTGGTGAGGGGCGGCCGGTGCCTGCTTAGAGGGAGGGGGAGACACCTGCAGAGGTGGGCTGGGCGCCAGGGTAGGGATGCCCTCACCTTGGAAGGGGGGATTTAGAAAGGAGTAGGGCAATCAGAGTAGTGGCCCTGTCTTCCAACCCTGCTATTTGGGGACAAAGTGGGGCAGGGGGTGGGGTGGACAGAGGAGCACTGCCAGGAACTCTCAGAGGGCACCAGGCCCAGCATGCTCCCTTTCTCTGAGGGGCAGTGAGCTGGGGGAAATAGCACAGCATGCTTTAGCTAGCAGGAGGTGTGCCCAGCTCCCTCTCTCCTTCTTCCCTGACAGAGGTCTATGCTCAGCTGTGCAACGTGGCCCGGATTGAAGCAGAGCGGGAGGCCGGGGTCCACTTCCGGCCCGGTTATGAGTATGGCCCCGGGCCTGAGGACCTGCATTACAGCCTCTACGGCCCAGATGCGGCCCCCTTCTACAACTATCTGGGCCCCGAGGACAGCATCCCTGAGCCACCCTTCCCCAACACAGCCAGCCGCCTAGGGGACCGCACACTGGTCCCTGAGTCTCCCCTGCAGCCCTCAGAACTCCAGCCCCACTATGTGGCCAGCCATCCAGGTCTGTGTTGCTGCAAAAATGGGGAAGAGGTGGGCACCGAAGCTGTTTCACTTCCATCTCCTCCACCTGCTGATCACTGCCAGCAGGGTGAGGATGGGGAAGGGAAAAGACACGCCAAGCCCTCTCATGGGTCACTCAAGGGACAACTCCAAATGCCTGGGTCAGATCCCAATAACCCCCTCTGGTGAAATAGCACAGGGGACACAATGAAGTACAGGAGACTGTCCCAACCTCAAAGGCTTCCCCGTGGGAGTGAGAGAACGAGAGAAAGTGCAGAATAACCTGCTCTACAAGTGACCTGAAATGTGAATTAAGGATTTCTAATCCCTTTAAAGGCCCACTGTGGTGACTCGGTTTGTAAGTGGCAATGACCCCAGTACTCAGGACTTGGATTCTAATGAGGACGTCAGGTGTGGCATCTGTGCAATGGACGCCGTACCTGCCACAGCCAAAGCCACCGTGTCAGACTGATTAAGACTGCACTGAGATTAGGGAGGGTCTTTTTCAAGGGTAGGGGGTTGCATAGAGAGAGAAGAGGGTTAGACAGATCTCGTAGAAGTTTTGCTTTGTGTCGAGTAAGGGTAAGCCCCTTTAGCTGTCAATCCCTCCCCCCAAAAAAACTATGTAAAGATTTTAACAAAACATCCTACCACCAACCACAACAAAACCAAAACTACAGAGATACCTAACTGCTCGAGCCCAGCATTGTGAAGGCAGGGAATCTCAGCCTTCCTGGAGGCTTCATTTAAAGGTCTCCCCCACCTACAATGATACATACTTATTTTTTAAGAGTATTGCCTTTTGTTTTAGCATCTTTCTGTGCGAGTTTTACAACCCACCCCACCCCCACAGCAGAGTTCAATAGGGGCCCCCCCTTGTAGCAGGGGGTGAGGCTCCCAGGGTTGGGTAGGAAGCCTCAGCTTCCTTCTCTCTCTGACTTCCTCGCACCAGAGCACCAGGCCGGCTTCGAAGGGCTTCAGGCAGAGGAGTGTGGCATCCTGAATGGCTGTGAGAACGGCCGCTGTGTGCGCGTGCGGGAGGGCTACACCTGCGACTGCTTTGAAGGCTTCCAGCTGGACACGGCCCACATGGCCTGTGTGGGTAAGTTTAGAATCAGAGTGGCAATGCCCAGAGAGCAGGATGGCCCTGATGGCTCCGTGTGGAAAAGTCAGACTGGCCCACCTTTCGCTTAGGGATGCCAGACTGAACTTAGGATAACTGGAAAATCCACTGCTGCCCCCTAGTGGGGCTCCCCGCTGCCAGGCTCCAAAGGTCTAACGCTGTATTTAGAAAGCCCTTTCCATGGAGGTCCTTAGAAGAAAAGCAGGGACAAGAGAGCATGGTCACTCTCCTGGGCACAGTATGGGCTCACTACCACCTGCTTTGTGTTCTGGAGTTGCTTAGTTTGGGGCTGTGACTTCAGCCTCTGGCACCCACACCTAGGATTCCACTGCAGGGCAGGGGCCAGGGCTTAGTGACCAGAGAGGCAGAGGTAGCAGGCCAGAGGCACTTGGGTTCCCTACAGCTCTCTCCTCCTTCCCTTCCTCTTAGATGTGAATGAGTGTGATGACTTGAACGGGCCTGCTGCACTGTGTGTCCACGGTACCTGTGAGAACACGGAGGGCTCCTACCGCTGCCACTGCTCCCCAGGTTATGTGGCTGAGGCAGGCCCCCCACACTGCATCGCCAAGGAGTAGCAGTGAGGGGTCAGTGTGGGCAACTACCTGGAAATGGCCCCAGCCACAGGCGGGGGCCTTGAGGAAGATTTCCTAGCTGGGAAGACACCATGAAGACATCAGGCAGGCCCTGCAGCCCAGCTCCCAGCCAGCCTTGCCTGCTATCCGTCTCTCCCAGCTTAGGCTCTGGCTGTGAGCTTCTGTCATTGCCGCCATGCTGCCATGCCCTTGCTTGGCTCGAACACCACCAAATGCTTTAATGCTTCAGCCACTGGCCATGAGGCCCAGTCCGCCATCTCTCCTGGCCTTGCCATGGGATGCTTACCAAAGGATGGCCCTCATCCACCCCCTCAAGCTATACAAACATGTAAGGTCCTCCAGCCTCACACTGCAGACACCCTTTTCTAGCCATGATCCACATATTATACTGATGATTCCACAACTAGGTCAGAGGCTACATCTGTCCTTGGATGGTCCTTCAGAATCTATGGAGTAAAAAAGGATTGGGGGAAGTTTAGGAAGTGACTCCAATGCCTCCTCCCAAGAACCATCACTGCCACTCAGCCAATCTGGTCTGGGTCAGATTTTGCCACATCTCCATCCTGTAGCCAGTTCTGTGGCCCCATGGAGGGGCAGAAGATCCCCTCATCTCAGAGAAGCAAGACTGCTACCAGCTTGCTGAGTGTAAGAGACACAAATGAAGGGGGCAAGGAGCCTGAGAAAGCAGCAAGAGGGCAATATGAAAAATATGAGGAGTTGATAAGAAAGGGGAGCCAGGGCTTTATGCAAGTCTAAAGAAAATATTCAGTAGCTTCAGGTAAATAAACACTCAAAATCTACCCAGCAATAGCTCTCATGCACCACAGCACGGGCTGCCACAAGACAGTGTGCCCATCTCTGAAGACCTGTATTCCATACACATTGCTTCTTACAGGAGACAGATCTCTCCTGGGCTCTCCTTTTGTGGACACCAGTTTGATGTACTAAAAATAAAGAGGTCTATTTTTTAGCTTGTGAAATACAGTGTAGTCTTGTTTAGGGGGAGCCAGATTTCCCACGTTGTTTCTTCTCTCTACTCAGAAGCCTCTGCCTTCCCCCGCTTCATAAAAAGGATGGCTGGCATCCCTCTGAGTTTACAAGTAGAGACCCACTCCAACCTCGGCTAGCTGGGAGTTTAGAACCATGGTGGAATAAAGAACTGTACATCTGGGTTCTTCTGTTTTTATTTCATAGTAAACCAAATTTCTTTACCATGTGGGTTAAGTCTAAAGATTAGAGATGAGGCTGTGCCCACCGCCTTGCCAGCTCTGCCAATAGCCTATGATTGGGTTCCAATGAGAAATGGTTCTTTACTCTGCTGAGAGAAGGGAAGCTCTGACTTTGCATTTCTCTAAGGAATGGCAATGTAAATGAACAAGGCTTCATGCCGGAAGACATGGAGATGAATGCTATTTTCTTAATTTAATCAGTCCTGTCCTACCTGCTGCTCTGATTGTCAGCCATCACATACTAACTTATTGAATGCTTGCTATGTGCCAGGCACCATGTTGAGTCCTGTACACAAATTTCATTTAATCATCCAACAATCCTACTTACTATTTTTATTCCCAATTTACAGATGAAGAAATTGACAGAGCTTCAATAATTTGCTCTAGGTCACTATACAAGTTGAGATGTTTTCAGTAGACAAAAATATATAGTTCTTAAACATATGAAAGTATTCTGACTTCATTCATAATAAAAGAAATGCGAGTTAAAAGCACACTGAGATACTTTTTTAAAATTGTCAGATTTGCAAAGATCAAAAAGTTTGTTAAGGCTCCTAGTTGGCAAGCATCTGGAGAAAGAGGCACTCAGATACAAAGCTGACAGGAGTATAAATTGATACAACTTCTGAAGAGGATAATATGGCAATGCCTTTCAAAATTACAAAAGCACTTACTCTTTGAATCAGTAATTCCACTTCTAGGAATTTAACCTTCAGATATATTCTCACCAAATGTGAAATGACATACGTAAGAGGTTATTTATTATAGCATTATTTGTAATAGCAAAAGACTAGAAACAATTAATTGCTACGGAGCCCTGAAAAGAAAAAAAAAAAACACGGCTCTAAATGCCTTGATAAGATATCCAAAAAAAATTACAGGAAAAAGGAAGGTTGTATAACAAAGTGCAACATATGCTGCTATTTGTCTAAAGGGGAAAGAGAATTGGATATCTGCTTACCTCATCCTTGCCACTCCACCTTACACCCCTTATTTCAGAGAACTTACCATTCCTCAACGTACCCTGCTGGCACTGCCCCTCCTCCCAACCCTCGCCTTCCTGCTCACCCTTCCAGAGACATTTCATGCATATACACATATTTCCTTGTATTAAAGACACAAAAAGCATACTATGCATGCTCTTCTGCACTTTGCTTTTTTCACTTACTACATACTGGCACATAAAGAGCTGTCTCATTCTATTTTATGACTGTATACTATTCCAGTGAATGGATAAATCATAATTTATTTAACCAGTCCCCCTACTGATGGACATTTCCATTGTTTCCTATCTTTTGCTATTATAAATAATGCTGTAATGAATATTCTTGTGCTTATTTTATTTCACATTATATCTATGGGATTATACCTGTGGGGTAAATTCTTAGAACAATGGTGGTTTGTGGGGAGGGGGACAAGGTGGACGGGTAGAGGATTGGGAGACTTTTCACTGTATCCCCTTTTGTGTCTCTTTGTATTTTGTACTATTACCTATGCAAAAAAATAAAATATTTTTAAATACAGCTGCTGGCCATAGACTGCTTAAATGTTCCCTCTTTATATATTTATCTGACATATTTTACAATGAAAGCCAGATGATAATTATTTCAAAATTTCTAAAGCAAACTTCCTTTAAGCAGCCCTGTGGCACTTCTGTGGAGAAATGGCAAACAAGGATTTTAAAAGAGCAATCATAAACATCAATGTTAGATACCTAGAAAAGTAGAGGAGCTTCCTGCCTTTGAGACAAACATGCAAAACCATAGTAATGTTGCATCGGACAGTGTTAGGCCCTGCTCACTGCATGACATCAGCTCATGGCCAGAGTTCAAGGGAGGGCTACACCATGATGACCAGTGCTGCCCACTTCTCTATATAGGATGCTCCTGCCAAATGTCAACCCTGTACTTGGGTGCTCTCTAACAAAAGACGAAAAGAATAGAGCTCAACTCGCAGAAGAAAGTTAGAGAAAGAAGAGTGTTTTTGGACACCAACTAGTAGTCCTTCCTAATCTCTTACCTCTGAAACTATTTTCTCCTAATCCCTCGTCATCAGGCAACATGCCCACACAAAGAAACTCAGGATGGGTGGAACACACACAGTTTATGTGTCACTAGTCACTATCAAGCACTTAACTGAAGAGTGTGATTCCACAAGAAGATAACATACAACATACAGCAGATTCAGGGCTCCCTGGCCTTCGGTTCTTGCACTATCAGGTTTTGCTAAAGCAGAGGTGGGGCATGCTGCCCCAGGCACTCACCAGCTTGCAGATGCAGTTAAATAAAACCAATTCTGCAACAAATAGCGCCTTGATAACCTCCCCTAGGAAGTAATAGAGGCAAAAGAAAATCTTCCAATTGATACTGGAAGAGTATAAGTTCTCCTAAATGAATCTGCACAGTGAGCAAAATTTGTGAAAATATCTGCTGACTTTTACGGCCTGCCAGGAAGAGGGCATCTGGTCAGAAAGGGCCTGTAAAAGATCCTAAAGCTGTTTTACTATGCTTACCGTTTATTCCAAGCAAACTGCCCACTGTCCTGTTGATGCTATCATTTCCCCAGTCCCTGTGTTCTTAAAATTTACATCACCTCCCTTCAACAGAGACTTCTTGTTACCATTTCAGGTTTCCCCATGGAGCTTTCTCAGTGCGATGAAGTAAGGTGATTTCTCCTAATTCCATCCTTTCTAAACACAAAATTCCAATTCTTCTATTAACAGTAGGTACTTACATATAGGCATTCGAAGGGACCCTATTTCTGCTTAACTGACTACTGCAATTTAATGGTTTATTGAGCAACTAAAGCTCTTATGCTTGTGCTCAGTATGAGTTTTAAAATCCCAAATCAATGTAGAATCCACAAAAATATTCTGGAAGAATAGGTTCTAACACCTAAAACGTAGCAAAATCTCTTTTTAAGGAGGATGGAAGGACTTAGGCTGAGTTGAAAATCTTATTAGGCCCAGGTATTGGCAGCAACTTTCAATGTCTTAGTAAAGTTACACACAGACCCTTCCATGGTATGTTGCTTTCTGCCCCGTTCCATGGAAATCTGCTAAATCTGCTCAGGTTCCTGAGTGTCCCCCTTTTTCCTCTTTGTACATACTACACACAGGATGGGTTTGTTTACTCTAAGTCCTAGGTTTTCCCATACTGAAAATGTTAAGTATCTAAGTTTGTCTCAGATATTTTCTGTCTCTAAACTCTGTATTTCCATTTTTTTAAATTAAATTCTTTCACTGAACAAGCTTAATTCCAATCCAGTCTAGAAATGTTCCAATCCAGTCCAGAAATGCAAGTTTCTGCTGTAACAAACTTTTAGGCTCTTGACGAAAAGATGGGCTTACCCAATAATTCTTCCAGAATCAACTTGGTTGTGGTTTCCCCAATATTAATAAATCATTTGTTGTGGTGGAGGTGTTTTTGTCTTTTTTCAGTTGTCTGTCCATGCAGTTCTGGCTCCCTCAGCACTGTCATAAACATATCGTGACTATTTCTAGCTCTGTAGCCTATTTCAGTGCCATACCCAAGCAAGTACTTTAAAATTCATTGGAATTTGTGGCTTAAAAAGCTTTTTTTTCAGTAACCCTAAAGTAGGGTTGCCAGGTTAAACAAATAATAATACAAGAAGCCCAGTCAAATCTGAATTTCAGATAAACAAATAATTTTTAGTATAAGTATGTCTCATGCAATATTTCAGATACACTTATACTAAAAGTTATTTGTTATTTATCCGAAATTCAAATTTAACTGAGCATCCTGCATTTTATCTGATAATCCAACCTAAAAGAAAATCTCTAAGTACCTATTATCTATACCAACAAAGGGACCACTTCCTGCAATGCATGAGACCAGAGACATTTTACACTGTAAGGTAAGTGAAGCAACATATCATAAAAAGATTCAATCACCAAATGATCACTGAATCTTGAAATGTCTATGTGAGTATGGAGGCTATTTTTCACATCATTCAGTTATCAGTAGGGGTTAGATCCAAGTTTTCTGGGTGATGCGCTATTGGTTTTGTGAATCTAGCAGACTCACAAGTATGAGAGGAAAATGTATTGCCCTAACAAATGGGAAGTGCAGAATGGGCTGCATAGAAAATAAGGATAAGTCAACTAGCGTATTTAGGAAGGGTAAGATGAAAAAGAGAACATTTCATTTGCCTTTCTCATCCTCTCTGGCCTAGTAACCAGTGTTTAAGCTACCCAATCTGTGACCCTGATCCAAAACACAATGACTTTCTTTAAAATGAAGGTTTTATACATAGTTTTACACATATGTACAAGCAGCTCTGAAGGCCAGAGAAGTAATTCCAAATTTTGGGACCTTGGAGGCTCTACAGGTTATACTGGGTTACAACCAGTTATTAAATCTTAGGGAACAGCATCTAGAGGCTTGGACTTAGAATTGTACGGGAGAAATTAAGAGTAAAAGCTTCATATTCTGAAAATAATAGTGGCAAAATATAACACTCCTGGATTGAAGGAAATACAATTGAGAGAGAGGAACATGATTGGAAGGAAACCTCTCGAATTCTACTCATCCCAGGTTCCTCAAATTGGTACAAATGGTAGCAATCTCTGGGTCACCTGTCATTGCATCAAAGTTTGACAGAGAAGGATGACCCACAGGAGCAGCCTTGCTGCGCTTGAGGATTGTTCAGCACTTGAAATGAGCTTCGGATCAGTTCTTGGCTGAAGTCCACCTGGGCCCCTTTCACGAAGGCCAAGCTATCAGAGTCAACCACCACTCTTGCCCCACCCTGTTCAAATACCCTGAAAAGACAGGAGGAAGGCATTAATGAATATCATAAACACCAAACACGTGACATCCTCTGAGCCCAGAGATGCACATCCTCTGTTTTCTGAAATATAGAGGAAGCATCTCTTATCACCTCTAATAGGTGCTGCTTTTCTTTGACGCAAAAACAGTCAATGGAATGAATACTGGGAAATGTTTAGAGATTTAGGCCTGGAATCTACTCCAGCCTGACTCTCCACCAACTACCCTGTGGACCTAGGCAGGCCAATTTTCCTCCTATAACTTAGTTATTTTGAATCAAGACAACAAATCTTTACTGTACCCCCTGTGTGAGAAGGGTGGTGGAAAGCATCCTTAGCAAACCTTTCAAATTTGGAATAAAAGTGCACCTTAAGCTGGAGACACTTTTATCCCTCCTGCACAGCCTCTGACGACCCACCCCTTCCTCCTTGCCTGTCGTCGGGGTTGATAACTGTATCCAGGGAAAATTTGTACTGGAATCCGGAGCATCCACCTCCCTCCACCTCCAGCCTGAGGAATTCTGACCCTTCGGTGATTTCCAGAAGCCTCTGAAATGCAGGAAGGGGGATCAAGAATGTCGGGAAAGGGGAGGAAGAAGGGTGGGCCAAGAGGAGGTCCCCTACTCCTGGCCCTCCCCCAGGCACCGCCGCCCCGCGTCCGACATCCTACCTGGACGCAGCTGTCGGTGAGGTGGATCTGGCCTTCATCAGTCTCGGGGCTGGAGGACGACGCTTCCCGAAGCGCCTTAGGTCTGTAGGAGGCCGCGAGGAGCCTGCTGAGCAAGGGACGAGGATGAGCCCGGGAGCAGAGGGGCACCTAGCGACCTCCACCTGCACAGCCTCACGCCAAACCTGACGACCTCCACCTGGACAGCCTCACACCAAAACCTCACCTCCCCAACGGGCCTTAGTTTCCCCTTAGGCCTGGAGGCGCAGAACCTAATACCCTTGCCAGGTGCCTTTCTAGGCTTGGTACCTGCCCCTTGGCCACGGGGTGACTGCTCTCAACGCCGCGGCCGTTAGGGACAACCCCCAAGCGGCCGCCATCTTCCTCCACAAGCTCCGCCCCTCGCACCGCCCCAATCCCCTCTCCGCCTGGGCCTCGGGAGGCGGGGCGCACGGAGACCCCGCCTCCAAGCACACCTATTGGGTGGTGCGGGAGGAAAAGGGATTTGATTGGCTAGAAATGCTCCCATTGCGGCAGCGGGGATGCACCAACGAAGCCGGGGCGGAGCGCTGAAGAGAGGGGCGGGGCGGGGCGGAGATGGATCCTAGCCCGGCGGGTAGCCGAGCGGAAAAGATGGGCGGGGATAGTGGGCGTCTGGGCCGGACCGAGCCGAGCCCGGCTCCCGGGAGCCGGGGGCGGGGCGCGGGCAGGCCTCGGCCTTGTTTGCTCGTGCCGGGTCGCCTGACTGGGCTCCTCCCCCGGCCCGCCCCGGCAGGTTTATCTTGTGACCCCGGCGGCCTCGGTTTCCTTCTTCGCGCTTGGAGCCTCGTTAGCTGCGATGCGTTTCTTGGCCGCCGCGTTTCTGCTCCTGGCGCTCAGCGCCTCCACCCTGGCTGAGCCGGTGTTTTTCAAGGACTGCGGTGAGCCCCGGGCCAGTCCGAGGTTCCCGCGCCCTCTACGGCAGCCCCCGCCGGAACCCCGTGCTGAGACACCCGGGCTGGGTTGGGGCGGGGGGGCCCGCGGGGTGCCAGGCTCAGCCTCGGACCCCTGGTGGAGGGGGCTGGAGTGGGCTGCGGTGGGCGACTCGATGAACTGACTGACCCCTCACAACTTTGTCTCCTTCCTTGGAATGCGTGTTTGGGGGTCCCTGGACATTCCTGGAAGTGGGCCTTTTGCTGAAGCTTGCTCAAGTTTGTAGGGCAGACAACCGGGGGTCTATATGCAGCGTGAGGAGTGAGGGGTGGGACGCAGAACTTCCTTTTTATTTATGCCTTCTGTCTTTGATGACTCCTCACTCCCCACTCCGTTTGCTTTTCCTTTTAATTTCCCTTTTGCTGACAAGTCAAAAATGAGTTCTCCTTTTCATGATTTGTTCCGTTAGCGCTTTCTTTGGGCTATGGAATTTTGTGATTCTTAATCAGTTTTTCCTGTCTATAAAACTCGTGTTTCTGGTCACAGCTTGTGACACATAACCCCCTGTTGCCACTGTGATTGGAATCTTTGTTGGGAAGCACAAGGGGTAGAGGGGAAGGTAGAAATTGTGAGTTCGTTCAGTCAAGTCCATAGAATTAATTGTTCGAGCAGAACTTTTCTGAAGTGGAGAGGTGTAATGATAAATGAAAGAGGCATGAAACTGACTTTTGTAAAGTCCGTAAGCTGAAAGGAAACATGGAGCTCGTGTAGTCAATCATTGAATTCCAGAGATGTTAGGCATCTTACCCAAAGTCACCCAACAAAATGGGAACCAGAATAAATTTGCTCCTTTATATTCAGTGCCCAGGTAATAGTAACTGCTCAATAAATATTTGTTGAAAAACTAAATGAAGGAGTAAATACTCTTTCCACTATGTCATCAAAATTCATGTTGAGGCAAAAGCAAAGTTGGGGGCTAGGGGACAGGATTGATTAAGGAATAAAGATTCCTGGCCTATTAATACTTAACAAATGCTGTTCCACTGAACTAGGAGACTGGCTCCTGAAAGATGCTATTATCACCTCAAATTACTGCCTTTCTCTTCGTCAAACTTAGTGGCCACATTTGGATGAAGACACTGTATTAACTTTATCAACTCGTTCAACCCTCGCAACCTGTTTTACAGATGAGGAAACAAGCACATGGAGTAATTTGCCCAAGTTCTCCCAGCTAGTAAGCGGTAGGAAACCAGTGGGTGTTGGTGAGCCACTTTGCGTTTCAAGGGTAACATTAACATTTAAAAAACAAAAACAAAACACTAAGAAAACTAAATCCGGACATTGTTCTACTCATTTGAAAAAAAAAAAGCAGGTGTACACCTTATGACAAGAACTTCTTAAGGGAAGGAGGGTTTCAGTTACAGATTTTCAGTTTACTTTTGAATTGGGAAATAGAGTGTAAAAACTTTAGGGCCCACATGAAAAGGCGTTTGAGTTCCACTCTATGCCTCCTTTCTCCTGGAGTGGGCATTTCCTCAAGTGAGAAATAGGGCAAGCAAACTAGTTTTGTAATTTTTGCGGGTTAGAACTGAGGAGTTTGTTCCATTGAATTGGAAGTCCGAGAACCTCTTGTCAGCAAAAAAGAGGATGAAGGAGCTACAAGTACTACCCTTTACTCAGTTCCTACTAGATCAAGTGACCCAGCCTTGAATGAAGCAAGCAGGGGTCAGCCCAGTGGCACAAGCGGTTAAGTGCGCACTCCACTTCAGCAGCCCAGGGTTCGCAGGTTCGGATCCTGGGCGTGCACCGACGCACCGCTTGTCAGGCCATGCTGTGGCAGCGTCCCATGTAAAGTGGAGGAAGATGGGCACGGATGTTAGCTCAGGGCCAGTCTTCCTCAGCGAAAAAAGAGGAGGGATTGGCATCAGATGTTAGCTCAGGGCTGATCTTCCTCACAAAAAAAAAAAAGCAAGTAGAAGCTGGATGTTGAAAGCTTTAGCATAAGCATTGATTTTCAATAGCTTGTTGTTTAAAGTTCCGGATATTTTTTTTCCTGTCCATAGAGGATAGGACAGAGTGGAAGAGAGTGCTTAGAGAAGAGAATTCTTGCATGTATAGTTTAAGAACTTTGCCATGACGGAGAAGCAAGCTGGGGATAAGGAACTACAGACCTAGCTGGAGCAGTGTTGGTCAATATGATGAAACTGTTCCACCCAAGAGCAGGCACAGGCTGAGAAAGCAAAGTGCATCTACATGAGCTTCTTGGTTCATAGCCTGCAATACTGAGCTACCTGATAACTACAAAGCAGATAATACGCTCTCAGCCTGCAGTTTGCTGTCTTCTTGTGTTCTACTGTTGAGACAGAAAGAGTCCATTCTATTGTCTGGATCCATAATTTCTACGTACAAAGTATATTTGAAGTGAGAGGCCGACCTTTTGTGTCAAAAGGGAACTTGCTAACCCACCCAGGAGCAGCTATTCTAGATTAAATTCATGGACTGAATCTTGAGGCAATGATAATAATAGTAAACACGGAGCATTACTCTTTCCCAACACTTATCTAAGAGCTCTATGTATGTTAGCTCACCCACCCTATGAAGTAGATGCTATCATTATCCCCAAAGAGGTTAAGTATCTTGCCTTGGGGTTATACAGTAAGTAATGGAGCTGGTGAGATTTCAAGCCCAGGTATCAGGTCGCAGTCTACCTCGTAACAATATTGGCTGACTGGCAGAGCTTAGCTTACTCTCTTACAGGCAGTGTTAACAGGTAGTTCGTTTGCAGTCTCTCCCATTCAGCTGTCTGGTTTTAGGGGCCTGGATGAGGTAACAGGATTTTTAAAGATTTGTACTTAGCCTTTTCTGGTCAAGCTTTTTTTTTTTTTTTTGTGAACAAACAGCACTTTTGTCCTTGTTTAGACTGAAATTTTTTTAAAAAGACACACGTCCTGCCTCAAAGACACTTATTTTGAAGAACACAGGTTTCCAAAGTGGCCTATACATCTGTATATTGCAGATGTGTGCTTAAAATTGCTCTCATCGGTAGGGGTATGCAAAGCGTGGAGACCACTGATTTGGAGAGAGACCAGGGCAAGATTGAAAGATGGTGGGGGAGGACAGTTTGGGAGCAGCCAGTCTCAAGATTCCAAACGGCATCAGTAACACAGCAACTTGAGCCGTATATGTGCTGCTTTAAAATCCTGTGTCAGGATGGCAGGAGGGATGGAGATGCTTTTCCCTGGCATAGCCCTCCCACGATATAGAACAGGGGAGCTGGCTATGTATGTATACTTAATAATTTCCTCAATTTCCCTTCACCCGTCAAATATGAACAGTGTCCTGGAGACCACGGATGGTCAGAGGAGAATGAGCTCGCCCTCAGTGGGAGAGCAGAGCAGCTTCCCATTAGGTAGGAGACAGCCTAGGTGGTTTATTTTCCCTCCTATTCCAATTCATTTTCCTTCTTTTGTAGGTTCTGGGGTCGGAGTTACAAAGGAAGTGAATGTGAACCCATGCCCCACCCAACCCTGCCAACTGCACAAAGGACAGTCTTACAGTGTCAATGTCACCTTCACCAGTAGTGAGTAACAGTGGCTCTTACCTTCAAATTCATCTTAAAGCACAACATCAGTCTCAAGTATTGGAATGAGCCTGGGAATGTGGGGGAGGGGAATTTCAGTCAGGAATTCTGTGACTCCCTTCCAACTTGTGCAAAGCTAGGATTCACTACGCCCTTAGACACACTTCTCATGCTGGACTCTCATATGCCTGTTTCCCGGAGTCCATAGCTGGCAGACTCCCTTTAAGTAAACAGACACACTTCCATGTTTTCACAGGTTAGAGAAGACAAGTTGGCTTCTCTGTCCTATTTTGGTCCATATTGCATAGCAGGCTTTTATGGGAATGTCAGCTCTGTTTCACTATAGACTACAGAGTGTTAGTACAAACCCCAATTCTGTAGACTTTGGAACTCCTCTAAAATGTTATTCAAGCAATATACCTTCCAGCTATTAAGTCTGTGTTTTGCCTGAAAATACTGGAGCAATTAGTACTTAGCTTCTGTAAAGTTTACAGAACTCACTGGGGACCCAAGAAACAATCAAGAAATCTGAGTTTTTGCAGAAATATTATTGGAACTTGTTGCTTTCTGTTACCACAGTCATCACCTTCAGATTCCCAGGAATCTAGACAAATGCAAAATCTTTATTTCCAGAGAGGGCGTCTATCTTGACTCTTTCTCTCATGTTCTATCCTCTGGAACTAGACTAGACAGTCTAATAAGAAATCTCCAAGTTTCTGTCATTTTTTGTTCTTAAGCCCAAAGACAGCTCTAAGTACTAGAGTTGTTTTTCCCCTGGATGATACCTTGGCCCCTCTGTTGTTCCAAACCAAAAAAGTACCTTCCAAAAAAATTGATCCCCAACCCAGATAGAAAGAAAGAAATAGAGCCAATACTGTGGGTCTCCAGAATAACCTAACAGCTCATAACTCTGGTTGCCCTAATTTTGTTGTATTTATTCCTCTTGCCCATCTTGTGATATGGAGGGTAGAGGTTAGCAAAAAATGTACCTCTTTCTAATCTTACCCAGTCTCTGAAGGGGTACCTCTTTCACTACTGTTACAGCCCGTGGCCTTTCTACGGAGAGTCCTTATTCCCTCTTTCCACATTGCCGTCCATTAGATTCTTAATTTCTAATGGAATCCTTTGGGCTGGGTATTTGAGAATTCGGAGACCAGTCTCCTAAAACTCTTTAAGATACACAATACACTTTGACAGACGCTGATGTAAATAGCAAACAGAAAGTTTACTACCAAAGATGAGTTATCTTGTTGGATAAGGTTATTTATCCAGGTGGCTCTGATTCTCTTGAGAAACTATGAAAGGCAGTGAAGAGTGAGGTGGGGTTAAGAGCAAAGAAAACAACCCCTGCTGATTGCTTTTTTTGTGCATAATTCAGTAATGTTTTCAGTTTTGGAGTGAGTGCTTTCTCTGTAGCATTCACAGAGGTGCTAAGCATAACTACAAAGAGAAATAGACCCTAGAAATTAAGAGGTAGAGACTTGATGATTTGCTATCATAGCAATGCTGTTGCTTGAGAATATATCTGGATTTTGTATTTAGAGTTTGGAAATAGGCTGTTTCCTTCACTCTGATTCTCTGTGTTTTCTCGTAGGTACTGAGTCTCAAGGTAGCAAAGCCGTGGTGCATGGCATCGTGATGGGTGTCCCCGTTCCCTTTCCCATCCCTGAGTCTGATGGTTGTAAGAGTGGAGTCAGCTGCCCCATCCAAAAAGACAAGACCTATAACTACCTGAATAAACTGCCAGTGAAGAGTGAATACCCTTCTGTAAGTGACGACGTGGACACTGGAGGCCTTGGGACTAGATTAGAAATCTGAGGAGAGGGGGCAGGAGGAAAAGATTGGAGTAGGAGTCCTCCAGCTCTGTGATGAAGAGGCAGAAGCCTGAAGGATAGGAGATAAGTTTGAGTGTAGAAATCATGAGGTAGGACGGGTATTTTTCATTGTGTCTCTTTGTTCTTTGTAGCCTAATGGTTAGCCTGGGCCTAATGACGCCATTTTTATATACAGTATTTTGCTGGGTTCTCGTGAATCTCTGTGTAGAGGTGATATTATACCTATTTTACAGATGAAGAAATTTGAGCCTCCAATGTTATGCAATATGGAACAGAGTCCACTCTACTAAGAAATACTACAGCCTAGATTTAGAGCCGGGTCTTGTGACTCCAAAACTTGTGCAATGGTAACAGATTTTCGCCAGGTAGCAAATAGTTCAAGATTTCAAGTTGTTGTAGCTTTGACGTCAGAAAATCCTGGTATCTCCAATAATCTCTTAACAAGAAAGCAGTAGTTTGTTAGCTGCATAGCAGGGAAGTAGCTTTTTCCACTCTTCTTTCTCCCCTCCACACCTCTCCTCCTTCACCTCTGACTCGCCCTGCTTACCTACTTGTTTTTCTACCAAACGTTTGTGAGATAGAGCCTGCTGGAATGGGCCGCTATTAAAGATATGAGTCTTTGTGTGTGTGTGTGTGTGTATAAGAAAGATCAGCCCTGAGCTAACATCCATGCCAATCCTCCTCTTTTTTTCTTTTTTTTTTTTTTTTTTTTTTTTGCTGAGGAAGACTGGCCCTGGGCTAACATCCGTGCCCATCTTCCTCCACTTTATATGGGACGCCACTACAGCATGGCCTGACAAGCGGTGCGTGCCCGGGGTCCAAACTCCAGGCAGCCAGCAGTGGAGCGCGCACACTTAACTGCTATGCCACGAGGCCGGCCCCTAGAGATATGAATCTTGATAAGAATGGAGGAAGTAAAGGGATTCCTTTTTTCCATGAAGAAAAAGAGCTGCATTTTTTGAAGGGAAATCAAGTAGAACCCAGGAGCAATCTGGCCATTTATTTTCTAGAAACAGCAAATAATTAAAGAACATTCTAAAGAGTCTCTAATATAGAGAGTCTGTGCTTAAGGAATGTCAGAGACCCTAAAGTCTCTGGGGACAAATTTGTAGATTAATCTGCAGAATACCATATAATCCTGGGCATTTCTGAGCCCCAGTTACTTATACAGAGTGTCTAGTTAGGGCCTGATACATAGTAGGCACTTAATATATAGTAGTTATTGTTAACTGAATTACATTTCATTTGAGAAACAGCTTGAAGTGTGTGTAATTTAAGCACTAAGTGAAACAGTGGTTAATGTGTACTCTTCTTGAAAAACTTAGAAAACAAGTTTCAAAAAGCTGGGTATTACTGTCATTCAAATGTTGCATTGTGAAGAAACATTCCAGTGCAAAAGAGAGATAGCAACTAATAATAAGTAAGCTGATGTCCACATAAGAAAGGACTGGCAAAGTGTCTGTGATTTATTAAGAATTAGAAGGGACAGCTCACAGCATGAGTGTAACAAGTCAAGACGGAGATCTCTAATGAGGTATATTATCAAAAAACAGTTTAAGGAAGTTAACTGAAACTATATTACTACAAATTATTCATATAACCCTAAACTTCTGTGGACATCCTTTGTGCGTTGACATTTCTATTTCCAGCAAACAAGTTTCCTTATACTTACTCTCTGCCCTTCATGGTTACAAAAAGTTGGCAAAAAGCTGGATCAGATTACCAAATACATTAGAAATTGTTTAAATGTAAAATTATTTCGTGTCAGGCTTCATCTGTGTACCATTGATCTATGAGGGAGAAGAATGTTTTAGAAATTATATTACATGTTATAGAAGTTAACTAGGTTAGTATGTGGTGTTGCTGATACTAATGTGGTGTTGCACCAAATCATAGGTGTAACTTGGTTTGCTCTTCTAAGTTCTAGGCTGTGCCCACATCTCAAGCAGCCTTCATGATGGCATGATTTAAAAAGAAAAGTATGAGGAATTATATAGTTTGTTAGAATTCACATCTAGAATTCATAGTTAAACCAATTCTGAATTGAGGTAAGGTCCTAGTTTCATTTTTCCCAATTCTTTTTCTCTTTCTCCAGATAAAACTGGTGGTGCAGTGGGAACTTCAGGATGACAAAGGCCAACGTCTCTTCTGCTGGAAAATCCCAGTACAGATTGCAGATTAGAATCATTTGATGCCAATATGTCCCTCTGGGTGTGAGAGCACAGGTGGAGGGAGGCGAGGAGAAATCAGGTCTAAACTAAATCAGTGCCATAAGATGAAAGGAATTTCCAGACTGCTATTTTATGCCTCTCAACCTCTAAAAGCATCTAAGACCCTGTTACCTGAGAGCTCAGAACTGTTGTCCCTGTGATATCCTTTGCAAAAGGGTTGAAGGAAAAGAGAGAGTGAAACTGTAGGGATTGATTTGATTGTCTTCAGTGTTTTTTGCTGTTGGAATAAGAAGGGTCCAACCAGACAGGACCCGAATGAGGCTGCTTAGGGGTAGTGGATAACTTGCCCGAGGGTTATTGGCCCTTGCAGCGGAGGACAGGTCCCAAACCACATCGTCTAGCTGGGATATTACATCTGCAAGTGCCTCATTGAGTTCAGTGCATCTGGCCAACAAGCCTGCTGCCTCTTGACAGCACCTCCAGCTCCGCTGCTTCAACCATAGTGACTTGCCCTCTGGAGGTATCCAGCATTTAATGGAGGGGGCGTGTTCTACAACAGAAATTCAACTCTAGCTGGTTCTCTGTGGTTATCTCATGTCTCCTTTTCTGTCTTAGGTGGTTTTCATTAAACACAGCACTTGATTAGCAGATGTTTGATTTTTTTTAACATTAACTTTTGATCTCTTTATGCACCTAGAAGTGTCTCTTTGAATAAATAAAAACTTGGCAGTCTTGGAGCCAGCTGGGTGACGTAGCAGTTAAGTTCGCTTATTCTGCTTTGGCAACCTGGAGTTTGCTGGTTCCGATCCTGGGCACGGACCTACTCACCGCTCATCAAGCCATGCTGAGGCGGCATCCCACATAGAAGAACTAGAAAGACTTACAACTAGGATATACAACTATGTACTGAGGCTTTAGGGAGAAAAAAGAAAAAGAGGAAGATTGGCAACAGATGTTAGCTCAGGGCCAATCTTCTTCTTCAAAAAAAAACTTTGGGGTCGGCCCTGTGGCGTAGTGGTTAAGTACGCGTGCTCTGCTGCTGGCAGCCTGGGTTCGGATCCCGGGCGCGCACCGATGCACTGCTTGTCAGCCCGTGCTATGGCAGCGTCCCATATAAAGTGGAGGAAGATGAGCACAGATGTTAGCCCAGGGCCAGTCTTCCTCAGCAAAAAGAGGAAGATTGGCATGGATGTTAGCTCAGGGCTGATCTTCCTCACAAAAAAAAACAAAAAACAAAAAAACTTGGCAGTCTTGTCTTCTGCATTCGGGCTATGGTCACCTGCTTCTTTCAGACAGAGTATGCTCCCCTAGATCTGGGGAAGGTGGACACCCAGTCCCATGGTCCCAGAGTGCAATAGAGACATGACTTTCAGAACTGCCTTTTCTCCTCTTTTTTCCCGGCTAGACATTACCTAGCTATTTTATATGAAATGACCTTCTTGTTTTGCTTTATTTTGCACAATCTTATACCACCAATTGTGCTTGAAAGAAGCAGTGAAAGCAAACATCACCTAGCTGAATAATAACAACGTCTGAAAGGTCCAGGGAACTGAATTTGGGGGGGTGGGGAGTAAGGTTACAAGTTGGTGTGAAGCATAGTAATCTTTGGGAACCTTCTGCCATGAGGAAAGCCTAGAAGCTTAAAAATGAAATATGAAGTTGTAGCAAGTAAATGCTAAGTTAATTGAATCTTGGAGGTTCCTGTTTTTGAAGTATAATCACGAGGCGTATATTTTGCTGCCTGTTTTAATCAGTGTACTCAATCAGCTTTTAGCTGACACAGGGCTTAAAACCCTAGTCACAAGTGAGTTGGGCAACAAGGACCTTGAAAGGCCATCTGTTGTAGGTTGGGGTGCTTATGCAGCAAATAAGTCATTTGGTCCAGTTCTTTTCATCCCACTAATTTCACAAACCCTTGGATTTCTTAGGCTTGTGAATTTCCCAGGAAAACCACCAGGGGACAGCCATAGATCAGGAATAAAGTTATCAACAGACAAGATTTACTAGTTAATTCCAGAGGCCATTCAACCATTGGACTCTTAAGATCTTTTGTGTATGACACGTTGCGTGTAGAGGGACAGCTCACTCTTGTCTCGCCATGCTGGACCCTAGGTATATCAGAATTGTATGAATTCCAAAGGTGGACTGCTGTGGTGTCTGGCTTCAGACTCCTGGGAGTTGGATTCTGGCTTCGTCAGTTAATAGGACTCCCAGTGCAATCTTGAAATCCCTTACCCTCTGTACGCTTCTGTTCCCTTATCTAAGAGATAGGGAGAATAACAGTAGGGCTGTGAGGATTAAATGAGATGATGCTTGTAAAACTAGAATGACCCCTGGCACACGGTACACAATCAGTAAATATTAGCTATTTCCTCATCTAGAAATACTAGCAAGAAAGTCAAAATTCAATCTGAATGTGTCCTATGTTGCCTCAGAAAAATGAGGCTGTCCTCTGTGCATGGAACTTTTTGAGGTGCCTGGAAAAGCTCAGTTCTCATGTGTGTCCTCTCTTTCCCTGTTCCCAGAAGACTCCTCATGTCATTGAGCTCCTTTGGGACTAACAGCTACCTGCCCTGCATTTCACACTCCTGCCCTCATATGTTAAAAGAAGACAGAAGAAAAGCAGTTCAGCTAGTGTGTACCCTTCATCAGAGCAGAAGGGTAACAACAGCTTATAACTGTTTCCCAGCCATTGTGAGGCTCGGGGAGCTGCAGCAGTGAGCTGGATAGGGCTCCCGTGGGGGGATTAGTTTGAAAGGTCGTCTTCTGTACAGATGGTTCACAGGCGCCCCTGAGTCATTAAAACATGGAGAAACACTGCATCTTAGGCTCTATAAAAAAGGTCATGCTTGGGGGCTGGCCCGGTGGTGTAAATGGTTAAGTGTGCGTTCCGCTTCCGTGGCCCAAGGGTCACAGGTTGGGATCCCAGGCGCGCACCGTCGCACCGCTTGTCAAAGCCATGCTGTGGCGGCGTCCCATATAAAGTGGAGGAAGATGGGCACGGATGTTAGCTCAGGGCCAACCTTCCTCAGCAAAGGAAAAAAAAAAAAAAAAGGAGGATTGGCATCGGATGTTAGCTTAGTGCTGATCTTCCTCACCAAAAAAAGACAAAAAAAAAAGGTCGTGCTCTTTGCAATGACGGTCTCACGCTTTTCTAGTGCACCAAGACTAGGCCTAGACACAGCTCCCCTTGCATGAATTCCAGGATTGGAAGATCCCAGACTCCAGTTGTTAAAAAAAAGATCCCCTGCTTCCGATACCTAGTATCCCCAGTTTGGGAGTGTTAGGTGGGAGGCCTGGCATTAAGTCAAATCTTCAGGCTAATAAAAAGCAGTAAGCATGGAGTAACTTTCAATCCTGTATGCTTGGTTTTGAAATCTTGGTTGATTTTTTTTTAAAGAAACAGATTGATCTTAATTATGCTTTGCAAAAGTTAATGAAACAGTCCGTTCTGAGAACACCCACAGATGTAGGAAGAGTGGCTTGACATAGGTGAGGTCTGGGCTAGGGGAAGATGATCTGGAATTAGCCATTCACGTCAGATAATTGAAAAAGCAACCAGTGCTTAAGACAGGAAATAGAGCTTGGGGGATTTAAAGGCCTGGGATATTCAGTTGAAGGGTGTGTGTGTGTGTTGGGAATGGGAGGGACAGTGTTGTGTGACATGAGGTAGAAAGTGGCGCTGGACCTCCACAGATGTTGCCTAAAAGAGTCTTTAGAGGAGTTGAGTCATTTTGGGTGGTTGTGTCTTTTTCTATGAAGAGAATCCCATGGCCTATCCCTCAGATTCCAAACTGAATCCTATTCACTTACAGCTGTCAGTTGACTAGCAACTAAATGGTCTGGGTGTTGGTTGCCATGGAAACATCTAAAAGGCCCATTGCTATGGGAACCTACCATGCTTTCCAAACCAGGGGTTTGGTTCCTAAAAAGCAGTGGAGGGGAGGATGGAGGGCCAGGAGATGGGCTGCACAGCTGGCTTGGGAGTCCTAGATGAGGTGAGCAATGTGGGTGAGCGGGCCTGACTAGCTGCTTATGACTGGGGCAGAAGAAGAGCAGTGACTTCGTCCACTTTCTGCACGCATTCCCCACCTATTCTCTGTGTGGTAGCCACAGAGCACAGACGTTTGCTGTCCCAAATGAGGAGTAAGGTCCTGGGGCAGACCTAGTGTGTCAGTGCTGCTACCCTCATCTGCAGGGGCTCTGAGAGGGAAAGTCTTGGCTCCTGTCTGCATGGCAGGCTGTTTGTTCTCCATACATCATGTGTCCCAGATAAGCAGCCAGCAGGTCAAAGGATCAGCTTAGCTCTGATTGCCAGTGGGTCAGGCTGATAAGGAGCCTGGCAGACAAAATGGATGGCTGCTGGCCTGGAACATGGCAGAGATGCTGGGGGTTCCAGGTGAGGAAGCAGAAGGCAGGCCAGCAACAGTAGTCTCTGCTCTCAGTGTTAGAGAAATGCATTACTCTGCTCTACCCCCTACCTACCCACATGCCTCTACCACAAGGCAGGATGGGGCAGTGGGGAGGATGGGGGTACTGCAAATGCAGCAAAGTATTAAAGACGAGATTTGACAGATTCTCAATGGATGCGCACAACAGTTGTAAGATTCTTTTCTGAGTTTTGCAATTAAGGGAAATAACTCACATCAGTGTTTAGTAGTAAGATGACCTTTTACTGAAACAAAAGAAAACATCCTAGTGGCTCTGCCATTAACTACTGTTGATACGTAATATATAAATTGAAGGGATTGGGCTAGATAATTTCTAAAGTCTGTGTCACAACTAACAGCTTACAATTCATTGAGACGCTGAGGGGAAGATTGAGCGCCACGGGCAAGTGGACACAGACTAATCATACCTGTGAGAGCAAGGAAACTCCCTGGAGTCCAGAGGGGCCAGGATTGAGACTAAGGCCAAGACATTTGATTGAAAGACCATCTCAGATATGTTTGGCCCAGAGGACTTTGACCTGATTGTCTGCAATTCTGAGATGTGTGGTCTTTTCTCTCCTGATCTTGCCTTCTCCTGCCTGGAGTTGCTGGTCTCAGCCAATCCCAGGGAGCTTTAGAGTCTAGGAGCCTGGCACCAGAGAGACAGATGCCACCCAGAATTTGGACTGCTCCACAGGACAACTGAGCATTTCCTAGGATCTGTGGGGAGGTTTTCACTTTTGGAACACAGTAGTTGTTTATAGATTTCTAAATATTTAAACTTTTAAATACAAGCTGGGTTTATATCCCACCTCCAACTCTTTCCAGCTGATTGACTTTGGATAAATTTTTTAACTTACCCTTAAGATCTCAGTTTCCTCAACTGTAAAATAGGATAATAAGAATACCCACCTCGGGCGGTTCTAATGATGACCTGAGGTGGTGTATGCAAGTGCTCAGTGCAAGGCCTAACTCTAATAAGTACCTGATTATTATTATCCACCTAGATAAGAAAAGAAGGTTGCAGCCATGGAAACTGCTCAACAGCCTAGAATCATAGGCATTTGCCAAGGATTTGTCTTTCAAATCTAATTCCAGGTGCCATTCAAGAAAGACGGCCTCCCTGATGGCCTTCCCTGTGGTTTGCCTTCGTTAAGGCAGATTCTAATCCTCTCTTTGTGACACTCACCACATTCTTTTCCACGTATAATTTTTGTG